AAATTAGCCTTGAATAAGTACTTATATTTTTATAATTCATACAGAATTATAATTCACAAAGAGTGATTTAGGTTTAGTAACTACATAACCCCTCAACCAAGTAGTTAAGCCTAAATATATATTTTTATTAACTATTTGTTCATTATGAATTAAGTATTTTTACAGTTAAGATGTAGTTATTATATTATTATTATTATTATTATTGTTATTATTATTACATTATTATTATTTTCAGATTTCTATTTTCTGTCAGTAACTGCTTTTTAAACATTCTAAATACATAATATCTGGCCTATCACTATAGTTCCTTTCTACATTATATAAAACAATACAGCATTCATCCCTAAGCAACATATTTAGACAGTTATCTGTCCTTCAGTGCCTCTGTGTATCTTCTTCTTCTGTTACGTTTCAAACATTTTTACAGAGATATTAAGGTGATAATCCAGGGTGTGTCCTGGCAGCTTACTCTTATCAGCATTCCTTTCTCTGAGGGGTGTGGTGGTGGATACATATCGCCATAAAATATTTCCTCTTTCACCTGCATTGAGTAAGAATGAGTAAAAGGTCAAAGACAAGAGAGATCAGAACCTAAGAGCTGCCCATATTTTCTAACAACATTCTCTGTTTATATTTTTGATTGGGATGCATGTAGCAGAGTATTTCTAGCACTCCTAGCTGGGTGTTTGTCTGTCCTATTTCCTGAATCAGTGGTTGTCTATATGTGTGTATGTCTCTGAGTTCCCCCTCGTGTAACTGCAAAGGCCTATTTGCTTGGATGGACAAAAGGCTATTTGAATTCTGCTTGGTAGGTAGAGTAAGCCCATTATGCCACACAATGTGATGAGATGAGAACAACAAGGACTTGTGGGTAATGCCGTTTTCAAAAACCACAGCCCATAAATCCACGCTGTCTTTGTGGTCGGATGTGTGTGGGAAACAATTAAATTATTATACAAAATGCAATATATCTTTTTAAAGCAAACAAGTTAAAGACCTTTCAGACTTAAAGGAATTATCCATTGTGTTAGAGTGACCACTGGATAATGCATGATCAGTGGCACAAATCCCATCCACTTTACTTAGACAAACTGATGCGCGCGTAACCTGTCATTTCGCTAAGAAAACACTGTACTTTTCTTCACGTGTGCTCTCTCCAGAGCCAGAGTGCTCCATCTGGTTTTGATGGAGCCAGATGAAGGCACTGGGTAATAAGCATGTCGAGACCTTAATCATATGTGTCCCTTTTTAAACAAAGTGCTCATGACTAAGATGTTCCAGCGAGTTTGCATCCTGCGCAGTTCCCATGTGGGTTCACTCCTAATGTTTCCCCCGAGGTTTGGAAATCACACTTGGGTCAATGCTGTTGCTTGTTTAACTGCCAACTCTGTCACTGGCTAATGTTGCAATGACATCTCACATAACCTGAATTATCATTTTAGTCATACATGAATGGCAATTAGCAGTATTCTTATTTTCTCAACAAAAATGTGGCATCGTAGTGGCCTTTTGGATTCCCAATATCTAGTTATAACACCACTCCCTAATTCCTTTACTTGCCTAGGCATTGTGGAACTACAAAGGTGTGTCTTGCAAATCTGCAAACGTGGCTTAAAATGAGTCAACACACTTACTCTAACCCAATAAGTGCCCTTTCGTGTCAGCACAGGTCTCGTGTCTGTTCCTTTTCTAAAGAAAAAGTGGGATTTGTTTTTTGATAGAAGTGATGTCAGCCTGAGGAGGTGGGATAGGTGCAGCTCAGGCCTATAGGGGCGGATTAAGTTGACACAGCCTACCTAAGTGTAAGTGCATTTTGAACATATAGGTTCATATTGCTTCATCTGCACTGGTTGTAGATTAAGCAATATGAATTACTTAATCTGATCCATAATCTGTACTGATAAAATATGAAATTTCTGATAAGATAAATTGACAGTTTTTGGATGGATGTGGTGTTTAAAAACACTTTTTTTGGTAATCAGTAATTAAAAACAACAACAAATACTTAATAACATTTACCTGATGAGAGCTGACTTGATGAATGAGATGAGCCCCGTAAAAAGCCAATTTGTGTTTTTACATTAAAATCAATTAATATGCAGTCTAGTCTTATAAGTAAGCATCTCAATCTCAACATACTGTGATAAGGTTTACTACTGTATGTAGAGTTAAAAGATATATAGTGACAATTCCTTGTATTATTTTGTCATTTTGGTAAATAGGAATGATTCTATTTAGAACCAACACATTAATGTCAAAGTATACATGAAATATATTTGGAAGTTTTTTAAGTGAATCTGTGCAGCTTCTGTTTTCAGCTATGACTATATATTTGTTTTTTGGCAAACCTTTGTTGTCCAGGGCGTGGTTGTTGTACATCACTGTCTGGAATTGCTTCAAGCCCTTCCTCAAAGTGTCTCATTCTCTCCTCTCTCTCCCCTCCTAGCTCCAGTGTCACTGTGAGTAACTCGGTGTCAAACGTCTAAAAACGCTGTAAATAAGTAATGATTTACCTGTAGCCGCGTGAGGCAATGCTAGATGGTGTTAGTCACATCCATGAACTTTCCAATAAAAAATCTTAACACTTTTTCCCTTACATAGTCCTCATACAAGTAACGTGATTACCCCATAGTGCGTGCGGGTTACCACACCTCATCTTTTAATGCTTCTTCATCTTCCATGTCCAGGCAAAACATAGGAAAGAAGAAGGGGCGTGTCCAGAAGCCCTACCCACAACCATGTCTCAAACCACACCACTAAATACACACTCAACATCACACAACGGGACAGGCCCAGACTTTATAGCTTACAGGCACCATTCAGTACAGAAGGATATAGTGAAAGAAAAAAGGAAGGGCAGAGGCAACCCAATCAGAGTGAGGAGAGCGATTACAGGTCTGTGAAGAGCCTTGGACCACAGGACAGGAGAAGGGACACTCAACAGCAAGAAGTGAACTACCGGACATACTTTTTTATACTTTGGTTTATTAATTGGAAAAATATATTACAACCATGACCTTTCAGCAGGAGAGGTACAGGAATTTCTCCACTGATAGCTTTGGCAGAGAAAGGATGCCGTCAGATGACAGTTATTACCAGGGGATGCTAAAGCCTATGGATGACAGGAAAGGTAATGGTGACTGCTTTATTTTATATAAAGAATCAGTTTAATTGGCATTACAATTCAGTATATCAGTGTAACCTTAATATTCTTTGGGATGAAAGAATAAGACATTTGGTATTAGGTATTAATGTGCACTGTAGATTTTATCTTTTCTAATTGTCATAAAAAGATAATGTCTCACTTACAGGTTGGCTTGGTTATTCTGAAATATTATTATTATGTAATTGTGTAATGATGACTTGATCTTGGGTTGTTCTTAAACAGGGAAACACCCCTTCCTTAATGCATCAGCATCCACCTCACATTGTATTGGCCAGTTAAGGCCATTCATAATTTTGGTTGTGCAGCACATTGTTGTTATGGACAAAGTGACTCATGCCTGTCTGGTTACAGAGTACACAGTTGCCAAGATTCAACAATTCCATAGAATCGTTTACTTTTAAGTTGATAAATTTTCTTTGTAATGCTGATAACCAGAATTAACCCATTATTTGCTGGACTTGAGTAAAGGTTATTTAGATTGTTGGTGTCTTGTGGTCTTGTGATTGCCTAAAGGGCAACACTGGGACCAGCTTGTCCAGTTGTGTTTTGTGCTGTAAACTTCACACCTCTGTGAAACCTGTTTGTATCTGCTGACTCTTGAGTCATGAAATAGTCAATGATGCATCGATTTACACGTGTACTAATGTCATTACATACTGCATTGGTGAACATCCATGTAAGGTTATCTTTAAGATCCTCCTTTTCTCACCCCGCCAACACCCTTTTTGACCTATTGGTTAAAGATCTGATAGTAGTCCTTAATGTATTGTAGTAGTGTCCATAAGGTCACATTGCATATACAGAATCCTCAGTGACACATGGAGAGGTCAAAGGTACACTTGTGTTTCCATAGAAATGTCCATAACAGATTAAGCAGAAGTTAGCTAGTAACACCTCCCCATGATAGTCAAGTAGTCTGTCATGGGTTTCAGAATGATGACAAATTAGTACAGTTGCCACAGTGATTAACATTATTATTATTATTATTATTAACATTCATTTAAATACAATTTTAAATACATTGTAATTTTTAAATGTGAAAAAAGTTCTGAAAATGTTGCATACAACAAGGAGCTGAAATCCATAAATTGTAGTTTATGTTGAACCAAATATTTGATCTAAACCAATGAAACTATAGAAGTGGCATTTAAAGCCATTACTACCGAAGATGGCAGCAGACATAAGATATTAAGTCAACCACATTACCAAGATCAAACAGCTTTATCCAAAGGTGTGTATGGATATCACTGACACACCTTGTGGTTTTCTTGGAACACAGATGGGAGCATTGAGGGCTTGTTATATCTAGGGGTGTGTTACTTGTTAAGATCTTGCTGTTTCTTGTCGGCAAATTAAATTCTCGCCTAAATAGCTAAGCCATGCCTTCTTCACTCTGAATGAAGGTGTTTTTTTTATGATGGATTGGATCATGTTGTGAGTTGTTGTATTCTGCAGACAGCTGGTGTCAGACTGAGACAATAAGGGCTCATTAGATGATACACTGTGATATAGTCTGAGTCACAGGCAGGCGTGACACCCCTTTCCACCCTGCAGGAGATTATATTTATTATTTTAAAATTAAATAGTTTTGATCCAAGGTTTAATTGTCATTATTCATTCCTTTAAGATATATTTTTCATGCTGTATAGAATTACAACAGCAGACTACCTAATTGAGCGATACAATTTTCTGAATTTACAAAAAAAACTGTGTTGAATCAGGACCAAACCAGGACTAAAAATTATTTTTTATCAATCACTAAATGTTAAATGTGATGTTACACATTTTACAATTGTACTTTCTGATGATCTGAACACTGTCTTTCTCTTTTCAGATGAACGGGACAGAGTACAAAAGAAGACCTTCACAAAATGGGTGAACAAGCACTTGATAAATGTAAGATTCCCTTGTCTCTTTTTGTAAAGAGATGTAAAGCGAAGGTAGAAATAAAAGATAATATATCACACTACAAAGAATCCAACCACCACAAGCTGCCCACAAGCTTCCAATAGCCAGACTCTTTGGACCTGGTCACCCCATTCTTACATAACAGCGTTTGACAAGTTAAAGGGCATTATTAAAACCATATCTGTTTGCTTAATGAATCATCATTCTCATTCATATTTTAACACACCTTTTTATAGGGACTTGCCTAAATGTTTTACAACAACCTTTATTACAGCTCAGATCTAACTGTACCTTATGCACACAGTGAAATATGGATTAATAATTATGGATAAATCTCTTAATGACATTGGAAACATCTTACCCTGAATGCACTTTACAGTCATATCATTTTTCACTCATCTCAATAGTTAAACAAGGCATTTAACTGAACAAATGACGCAAACATCCTTGCCTCACTTCAGCCTTTGTTTAACACATGGGTCTCTAACATGGTACTGAAATAGAGAGGCCTACCAGCTCTTTCATCACAAAACAGACTGTTCAAACACTAGATATACATTTGTCTCCTCTCACCTACCTCATCTTTGTATTTCTAAACTAACGCCAAGTGTCTTTCAATGCATCAAAGGGCAAACAAGGAAGCACTCACTCTAGACTTTCTCATTAAGAGTGAAAAATTAGCTGCCTGAACAAAGAGAGTAGTAATATCCCTGCCCAGGAAACCACCATTGGCAGTGCTGAATATGTCATATGTGGTCTTTTGTCGGACATGTGTATTTTTGCTACTGCCAAATATTTAGCATGGTTTACTACATTATATTTATCATTATAATTAGGGATACACCAATCTACGTTTTTAAGGTCTTATACCGGTATCAATATTTTAGCTTGAAGTAATCCAAGTATCTACTTAGGTTATGTAATTGTTATTTATCCTGCAAGTAACTACTGAACTGCTTTTTATGAATAAAAGTTCACACACTATGACACTATCACACTATCACACACTATATGTCCTAGGCCTACAGTTTTTACTGTCAAATTAAATGCCCAACCACGATATCGACTCAACCAATATCATGGGACTCATACCCATTCCAGCGAAATGTCCTGGATCACCACTGATATCCAATACCAGTATTGTTTCGGTGCATCCATAATTTAAATTATTTACCACTTTATTTTATTTGTAAAGTGTGAAATGGCAAGTTAAGGATCAATTTAACATAATATATTCCTCAAATCTTACTTATACTCCTGTGTAGAGAATGTTACATTGTTATGCATTACAGACATTGCCCTATTCATTTTTTTCTTCGTGAATGGAACAAGGGGGTTAAAATAAGCCTGAAGGTGGTGTTTTCCTTTCCATGCATATGCAGCTGCCTGGGCTTCCAATGGAGAGGAACTGACGTATTAATCCTAAGTGTTCCCCGTCAGTTTGGTGGAGTGACTCATACACATCTGGACTCACTTATCTCACTCTGAAAAGGCGGCTCTTAGTGGTCAGGGTTAACGGTAGCACATGGTAGTAAGGCTCAAGTGAAAGTTCTGTAGTGCTATAAGAAGCAGCACCTTCACTGCTTCCTTATGTCTTTTCATATACTACACTACACAATATAGAGGTCGGCTTAGTACTGCAAATCTGCATTACAGAAAAAAATACAGAGAGGTTTTAGGTGTTTATGTATTTTTCAAAAATTGTAGAAAAAGGTGTATGTGAATATTCTGGTGATTACTTAAAGTACAGACAGATAACATTAGATACATAAAGGCAAAATATGATTCTTTTCAATCAAGTTTAAAACTAACTGAAAAGAAGTAGGAAAAACACTTAATGATGACGACTGAATATAAAGTTTACAATTACAATTAAAAGTATGGTGAAACAAAGAGTTAAATTGACAAAATACATGATATAGAGCAGAATAGCTTTGAATCTGCTTTTCTTGCATAGCTGAACATGATTTAATGACATGTCACAAGTAGCCTTTAAGTTGGGTGCAGCTGTGGAGAGCTCTAAAGAGGTGTTTAAATGGTCTTGCTAAATCATGTTATATGTATTGTGGGAGACTGAACAGGGAAAAGTAAAAAGAAAAAGCTATTTCTCACCAATTGCTGTAGCTGAAATTGCACAACACTCCTGATGTAAAAGTTTAGGCATGTTAAGTGTCTTGCTCCCAGACAACAGATCACAGAAGCACCAGGGGATCGGGATAACAGTCTGTCAGCCATGTGTGCTAATGATTTTCACTTAAGAACAGGTCACAAAGAAGTGCTTCTAAAGAGAGCAATTTGTAGAGTAACGCCCACCTTTCAGCAGTGACAGTGTGGCAGGTTCTTTACAGGGCAAATGGGATGTGCTGAAGGATGTGTCCTCTATAAACAACATGAAGAGACAGTGAGGCCAGGTGGCTTAGAAATCCAATTTGTTATTTAAATAAGAATTAAATGTGTCCAGGTTAAGGAACATTAAACTATAACTTTATGGGACTGTACTGTGGTGGTTATGTTTAGCAGCATGCTGACAGTGACCCCTACTGGCTTGTGCAGGTTTTGACAGCTCCATTGTCTAGGTGGAGCTAAAAGATGAGTCACCTTTAAATCAGACCAAGATTTTGTTTTAACTTGTTAGGGAATTTTACTTTTTACATACAGATCTTCATCTGTTGTGTATGTGGTCTTTATCCAAACAATAACAACAGTAACATGTGTTTCTAATTACATGATCATATCATATGTTATGGATATGATTCAGTGTTTATTTAGTGTTTAATCTTTGTCATTTACCCTTCCTTTTCTCTCCTCTCTTTTCATCTCTTCCTCCAACCTTATTCTCTTTCTGCATCCTAGAAACCAGAGGTAGGTCTTCAGCGCTTTTAGCATGAGTGTGTCCACTGTTACACATCATTGGTGTGATTGCATGTGTCCAGCATCTTAAAGATTTGCCCACACATACCAATAACAGATTTATATTGTAATTAGATTCACCAGGGTGTGTTCTAAGCTACTGGTTTTGATGGATTATTACACGCATTCTTGAGATCTTCACCAAATAGTCTCCATTACTTCTACTTTTGATGCCATGTGGTAGGAGTCACAAGGGCTTTAAAATAGGTTATGAAAATGTCTGATTTGAAAGAACTGTTTCAATACCTTGATGTGTGCATATTTGGCAATTGACAACTTAAAATAAGCTTTTGGGTGTAAAAAATATATATTATAATTTATCTGTATCTTCTACAGGCACATCGTCATGTGACAGATCTCTATGAAGACCTTCGGGATGGACATAACCTGATCTCCCTGCTGGAGGTTCTCTCTGGGGAAACCCTGGTGAGTCCAAATGATGTTTAGTCTCAACTTATCAATTTTTAATAGTTTATCAATGATTGCCAGGTTGCATTAGAGTGCGGTTAATCTAGAGCTTTCTATTATGGTTTACATTAAAGAGCCTCACTAATCAGTGGTTCAATATGAGACTCATCTTCAACATTTGAGCTGGGCTGTTAACTTCTTGCTTCCTTATGTTACTTGTTTATGCCCTCAGGACTTAATTTTTCTCTATTGCAGCTTTAACTCTGTTCATTCAAAAACAATAATCACATTGCCTCCGCATTGGCTGCTTGGTGTGATCACTGCATTTTACACTACTCTTCTTCCCTCCTGGTCTATGCTTTTCTATAACCTTTGCTTGTGTGAGCTGATGTCTGCTGTGTGGCTTCTTTTCCTCTCTTTGCACTCCTCTTGCTAGCTGCGGGAGAGAGATATGGTCAGGAGCATTCATTTGGTGAGTCTAATTATTCTGGGCTCCAGACATGGCTGTACCATTGACAAGACATCCACTGTCATTGTCATTCTGCTGACTAGTTTGTCCTCATGCAGCCATTACAATGGCCATGGCTGTTATTCTCATCAGAGATGTCTTATTCCATTTAGATTTTGTTGCATATCAAGTACATTGTGACCAGAAAATGCTATTACCTTTGGCAACATTCATTTAGTCTTTAATTACGATATATGTTTTTAAATCTTTTAAACAGCCTAAAAGAAATAAAAATAGAAATCATCTCATGTTGGTGTAACGGATAATCAGTGTGGTTGTGTATCAGTCCCAATATTAGTTTGTGTCTCTCTGTGTTCCTCCACATCTGCGACTGCTGTTGTTTAATTATCACTATGTTTATCGTGTCATTCACAGCCCAGAGAGAAAGGCCGCATGCGATTCCACAAACTGCAGAATGTACAGATAGCACTTGACTTCCTCCGTCACAGACAGGTATGTCATAAATGTGTATGCATGAAAATGTATAAAGAACACCCTGTGAGTTGTTGCTGAGAATAGGAACCCCCACAGTTATAAGCTTACTGTAATGATGTGTTTGTGCAGGTGAAGCTTGTCAACATCCGAAATGATGACATCGCTGATGGGAACCCCAAACTCACTTTGGGGTTAATATGGACCATCATCCTTCACTTCCAGGTCTCCTCATCTGTCAGTGTTGTATTTTATTTTTGTTATCACTCTGTTCCTCTGTCTCTGGGATCTGCAACTATCAGCTGCCATTTCCCATCTCCTGGAATCACCCCGAACGGATCCTGATCTTCACAATTCCTCCCATTGTCACAGTAATTCCTGTCAACATAGGCTAACATAGTTTACTAATGTGTAGTTTAGCAGCACACTGCACACCATTGACTTTCAATAGTATGAGTCACTCTGTAGGTGTGCTCTCATGCCTGCAGTGCTTCTTGATACTGTATCCTCCCATGATTAGGCCTGTTATGGCTTCAAACATTCGCCGTGCCCTTAATCTTCGTTCTTCAGGTTTCCCATGAGCCCAAGACGTCAAAACACAAATGAGGTGTGGTTTGGCAAAAAGATCTGGTGAATGCCCTAGAGATATGAAATCCTTCTACTTCTTTCATCACACAAGTAAATTAGGCACTAAATCAAATTTCATCATTTTATTGTGATATGGTGACATGGTGGGTGTGATGGTGTCATAATCTCAAAAGGTGGCATGAGACAGTGGGGTAAATCTGAGTGATTATAAAAGTAATTTCTATGAAGTGTTATTGTATGAGCAGACAACACAATTTTATAATAAATTAGTCTCCTGTCCAATCTCGAACAGTATGCATTGAATTAATCTATGTGTACTTTACTCATACAATACCACTCTATAACTGGGATTCATCAAGTTGGTTGTAGTTTTATCATTTGGTTTCCATTAATAACTAATTTATTTCCTATATTCCTGTATAATCAAAATTAAGTTCCAATTCTCTCATTTTAATATATAATCAATTTATGATATGTTAGATCTCAGATATTCAGGTGAATGGTCAGTCAGAAGACATGTCAGCCAAGGAGAAGCTGCTCCTCTGGTCACAGAAGATGACAGATGGATACCAGGGTATTCGCTGTGACAACTTCACCACCAGCTGGAGAGATGGGAAACTGTTCAATGCAGTCATTCACCGGCACTAGTAAGTAAAGACCTTTACATTCTAGGAGCATACACTCAGTTGTATAGATACGGCATTACTGTCATACGACTAGGCCAGATTTAGGGGAGTCTGATCGAAAATGGCTCCAGGAGGGAAAAGTGGTGATAGGCTAAACTTTAGTTCTATCCACTAGCAGACAGGCTGTCTGTGAGGATGCAAGGAAGCTGTTATGATTATTATTTCAACCAATAAAATGCAGGCAGAAATTATGTGTCACCTGACTATGTGAATACTGGATATATAATATGTAATCTGTAAAGACCTAATCAAAACCACAAAGCACTGAATTAACATATGTAGTATATTAGGTATATTATAAAGTAGTTAAGTAATCAATATCAATTAAAAGCAGTGTTGGGAGTAATGTATTATAAAAGTAATGTATTACAGTAATGCGTTGATTTTTGCTGTAACGCAGTAATGTAAGGCATTACAGGGGGAAAAATTGTAATATTTTACTCGGTACAAATGTGAGTAACGCGCGTTACAATGCTTTTTTAACCTGGATTGAAGTGGTGGGTTTTTCTTCATAGAAATTCGCTAAAATCACCGTGAAATCAGCAGCGGTGAAACGCCGGAGACGCGGCCGGATAGACCTTCAGTTAACCGCGGGTGAAAGGACCGACCCAGAACTCTACGCTGTTTAGACCTGGTTTAGACCTGGGTCACTTCTGGTTTAGACCTGGCTTACAGTCGTCCCTCGCTCTAACGCGATTCACTTTTCGCGGTCTCGCTGTTTCGCTGATTTTTAGAATTTTTTTTTTGTGCAATTTTGCATGCCTTTTGTTTTTAGTGTATGAACACGTATTGCGTTCCTCCCGCTGCGTCCTGATCGGCTAAGGGACTCCTGTCTCCTGTACAGTACAGTACAGAATATGTTCAGCTGCCAAATTTAAATACATGTTCAATCTGTAGCAGTGTGATTCTGAAGTGCTGTATGTCTGCAAGTTTTCTCTCCGACAAAATCCACAACGTCGATGAAATGTTCTGCACCGACAAAGTCTCCTGCGCTCGCACCCAAAAGACAGAGGACGATGCAAACCATCGCACAAAAAGTTGGACTTCTGGACACGTTGAAGGAAGGTAGAAGTTACGCGCTGTAGCAGAGTTTTGCACCGGGTCTTGTACCCGCAAATATTTGCTGAAATCAGGACCGTGAGCCCCCGCAGCAGGGTCCATAAAGCGCGATCGGACGACAGCCGCTCTTACCTCCATGAGGTGCGGAGCAAAGCCGGTCCTTTCTCCTGCGGTCACCTTTGAGCCCGTCCCGACAGTGAGTCCTGTTTTAGTCCTAGTTCAGTTCTGGTTTAGTCCTCCTCTTCAGTCCTGGAATCAGTCTGAGGTTAGTCCTGTTATAGTCCTGGTTTAGTCCTGGTTCAGCTCTGGTTTAGTCCTGGTTTAGACCTTGTTTAGTCCTGGTTCAGTCCATATCCGGCTCAAAAGTTCAGCTTTTTCGCAGTTATTTTGGTGAGAGTAACTTAAAGTAATGCAATAGTAATGTAATGCCTTACATTTTAAATACAGTAATATTGTAATGTAACGAATTACTTTGAAATGACAGTAATAAGTAATAAATAACACATTCCAGTTTTAAAGTAACTTGCCCAACAGTGATTAAAAGCAGGCCACAGGAATTAATAGACTTGTTTTGACAACTCTCGTCTATTCGTTTTTTCTGATCAAGGTCAGTGTAGCATAAGATTCAGGAAACGTTTCAAATGTCAGACTACTCTCCAATATGCCCGCTTCAACCTGCTCTGTAATTGGAAAAATGGTTGAACATTTTTAGAAGATGTAGCTAGACAGGTAACCAAAGAAATGCTTTTCAAGCTTTTTTTTACACTATAAATTATGTAAATGCTCTTTTTGTTTATTTAATGTCAAATTTACTTTGGCAGATGTCGCTTAATTGTATCATTGCATATATAAAAGAATTGCAGAAAGCATTTCTATTATATTTTACTAGACCTGTTGGTAACTTAATCCATCTTCTTTCCATACAAGTCATTATAATAAGTTAAAGTCCCAACTGTTCAAAGCACCATGCAATGTCAATGTTGACAGTAAATACAATGTTTTAAAGTGTTTGTGTATGATGGATTTCCAACTTTCCAATTATTCAAGAGCTGAGATAAGGCCTAGTATTTATAGGTATTATGAAATGGAATAAAATGTACCTGTAGGGGCAGGTTTCCTTTGATTTGACCTGCCGCCTACTTTCGGATACACAGGATTCTGTATTTGACTGTTACAAAGGGTAGGGGTGTGGTGTGTGGGCGTTACTGTAACTTTGTATGGCTGCTGCTTGAAAACCCTAGAGTTACTTCGAGTCTAGGCACAAAACAGGGCATTGAGTTGCAGGAAATGTGTTCATCTTTTGTAGAGAAAAAAGGAGAGACACCATTTTGATTTTGATCGAACATGTAGAAAGAGGTGCAAGATTGTACAAGATGGATGATTTCAGTTTTGGATGTATTGGAAATTTCTTTGGACCTTGAAACTCTGCATTGGAATATCCGAATCTTACATGAGTGGCTTGTACTGATGTCATTTAACACCGTTTTGACAAGATGCTAAGTTTGAAAAGAAAATCCAAACCGCGGAAAAGAAGTCTTGGATTTAGCAGCAGATCTTCTAGCAGTGGGGTGGACAGGGTGGTCATGCTGTGTGACGACATTCCGTCACTGGACTCGGGGCGGAGTTCAAACAGCTTTGGGGCACGCTCCAGTGGTGACGAACTGGTTCAGGGGTGGAGGTCTCACAGCTTCCATGGCACTACCCGACCTCCAGGCATAAGTAGCTCCTCTAGACCAATGAAGCAGTATTCAGTTCGAGAAGTAAAGCCAGTGGAGTCAAGTCCTGTTCAGGCAGTGTATGTGGACCGGACTACTAAAGTGTAAGACTAAAGTGACCTGTTAAGTAACATGCTAAAAACTACAGTATTTGACAGTTTTATAACTGTTGACATTACATTAAAATGGTACAGTTGAGTTGTGATGATGATCTTCTAGCAGCTCTGTACTGTAAAATACATTCTTTCATTTGAGATTTGGCTCTAACAATCTCTTGGCCCCAGGTTTAGTTAAATTGCAGCTGCTGAACATGAGCAGGTGGTGCTTCAACTTTTAGCCATTGGCAGGAGTTACATAATCCACTGTTAATCACATGAATGATTTAAGCATGTTTGTAATTCCTGGATGTGTTAATCAAGGATTGCTCTAAATTTTATTGCAAAAAATAACAATTCTAATTTTGACAGCATCTACATGGTGTGCAGTGTAAGAGGAAGTGTGTAGTTTCTGCTGTTATTTTAATAATTTCAACTCCCTGTAACTCTGATCTACAATTGTGTTTCCACAGTCCAAGACTTATTGATATGGGCAAAGTGTACAGACAAAGCAACCTGGAAAACCTGGAGCAGGCTTTTGGAGTGGCAGAGCGAGACCTGGGAGTCACTCGCCTTTTGGATCCAGAGGGTAAGATCTCAAAAGTCTCACTTTGTATTATTATTTTGCATATATTGTATCATTAAATACATATTTTTTTTTAGATGTTGATGTGGCTCACCCTGATGAGAAGTCCATCATCACATATGTTTCATCCCTGTATGACGTCATGCCCCGCGTTGATGTAACCGTCAGACCTAATGTAAGCAAGTGCTTAACTATAACTCTATTCAATCCTTCTTGTTAGGCATCATCTTATCACATTTCATTATTTGTGTCAGTGCTACATTATTGACCCTGTCTGGCACTTGTGTATTTAAAGATCTTTGGCTACACACACTCCAAATGTTAAATGAATAAGACAGGGTTTGAGTTTTCATTTTGTGAGAAAACTGTGTGTTTGCTCTGTGTTTACTTGACCACTTTCACAAGACTTGGATTGTCGAGTCAAATTAAGTTTAGGTGCTGTGTGAGAGTTGGAGCATCCAGACATGAGAGAAAAAGGCCTGTGCTGTCTGCAGTGGACTCACGACTGTCTCATTCTCACTGCAGGACTTGGAGCTGCGCTGGCAGGAGTACTACGAGCTGGTGACGCTTCTGCTGCAGTGGATTCGACACCATGTTGTCATCTTTGAGGAGAAGAAGTTTCCCACCAGCTATGAGGAGATAGAGGTAAGTTATATTCTGTTTTATGCTTAGTTAGGGTAAATATGATTAACTATTTAGTTAGGAGCTTAGTCACACGGGAGGAGCTCGGAGTAGAGCCGCTGCTCCTCCACGTTGAGATAAGCCAGTTGAGGTGGCTCGGGCATCTGTTTCAGATGCCTCCTGGGCGCCTCCCTTGGGAGGTGTTCCAGGCATGTCCCACCGGAAGGAGACCACAGGGAACACACAGGACACGCTGGAGGGACTATGTCTCTCGGCTGGCTTGGGAACGCCTTGGGGTCCCCCCAGAGAAGCTGGAGGATGTGTCTGGGAAGTCTGGGAGTCTCTGCTTAGACTGCTGCCCCCGCGACCCAGCCCCGGATAAGCGGAAGAAAATGGATGGACATTTAGTTATGTAGGGATTAACCATGTTAGTGAGTCAGTCTGATCTATGTAATACATTTGGTTCACTAGAGGATAACTAGGATTTGATATCTTAGAGGGATTGCTCCATGATAGGGAACAGATGTGAACAGAAACCACATGCCCATTGTCCAAACACTTTGTTGTACTGTAGGTGGGGCAGTGTCAGTGGTGAGATAATAAAGCCAAAAGGAACATAATGTGAGTCTCCTCTTGACTCCACCCTGTTGGCTACAGAAGAAAAGTCTGTTTTTTTCTGATAATTCAGTAGTTATGTGGTTCTATAGGCAGTATGAAGTAATATATGAAATGATTCAAAACTATGCAGTTTACCTCACCAAGAGATAGGAGAAATAAGTAAATAACCATGCATGACTAAATCATTGACAATACAAGTACAAAACAAGTTAAAAATGCTTTTGTCAACATATATAGCTATAACTATACTTTAATATTTTTATTTTAGCTTTTGTGGCGTCAGTTCCTCAAGTTCAAGGAGACAGAGTTGCCAGTGAAAGAGACTGACAAGAACCACTCAAAACAAATCTACCAGACCTTTGAGGTATAATTTCTGTTACAGTCAAATAAATTGTCATAAGGTATCAAATTACATGATTATTTTTCCCAAAGAGCGCAGTACATGCTGGGCAGGTGAAAGTCCCACCAGGCTACCATCCCATTGATGTGGAGAAGGAATGGGGGCGGCTGCATGTGGCCATTCTCGAGAGAGAGCGTTTGCTCAGAATAGAGTTTGAAAGGTAATCAGAGTCACGCATTATGGTATTAAGTAACACTGGTCAGGAAACCCTATCTTTTATCTTGTAAAAATGTTGGCCATGAAAACAAGAAAGCTTTTGAAGTGGTCATAAAAATGCTGAATGTCATGAGACTTTATTTAAATTAGAAATGGTTTTACAAGTGTAATATTGTGTGTAGAAAAGTGGAAGTCACGGGATACTTGCTCATGTTGGAGTCTTGTTTACGCACTGAAAAACAAATGAGTGAATGGGCAGAAGACAGACAGTTGTCTCTGTCTGTGCTGCAGCATAGATGAGCACTCATGCTCTTTTAAATAGGACTTTTAGCATGGCATTTGTAATAGACACTCTTAGATTGGAGTACTTGCTAAAGCGTAGATGGATGTAAGCTGTAATTTAAATTACAAATGAAATTTCTTTAATGTTAAGAAGCCTGCATTGTGTCTGTTCTACATGTGCAATAGTCTTTGTGTTTTTGACACAGACTTGAAAGACTGCAGAGGATTTTCAGCAAAGTCCAAATGGAGTCTGGTGTTTGTGATGATCAGCTCAGTCGTTTGGAGGCCCTCCTGCAGACTGTAAGTCATATTTTTATGTCATCATATTATCATTTACAAACAGTGTTTAGGTATTTGGAATTAATACTAAATGAGAATTGCACTGAGGTGTTTACTAAGTACTAAGTACAATTTGGGTTTTGTGTGGGATTAAAAATGACTGAAATTGTATCTTAGAGTCTTTATGGTGTCCACATATATTGTGATGTAATATAACATGTAATGAACATTTTGTTTGTGCTTAAATAAGTGATTTCTTTCACTGACTGTGAACCTTACTGGTTTTAGGACATTCACCTGCTGAATGCAGGGAAGCCAGCCCAACACACAGCAGAAGTTGAGAGAGAGCTGGACAAGGCAGACAACATGATCCGCCTGCTTTTCAATGATGTGCAGTTTCTTAAAGATGGGCACCACCCTCAGGCTGAACAGATGTATCGCAGGTGAGTGTGCAAAAAAAAAAGTTTAACAAATGCTTAGTAATTACCCCCTTAGATTTGAAAACTAACCTTTTAAAATTACCCAAACTCTGCAGAGTATTCCGGATACATGAGAGGCTGGTGAATTTGCGCAGTGACTATAACCTCCGACTAAAGGTTGCACCAGTGGTGTCAGTCCAGCAGGCTCCAGTGAAGGGCCGCCCAGAACTGGATGATGTCACTCTGCGTTATGTACAGGATCTGTTGGCCTGGGTGGAGGACACCCAGAAGCGCATCGATGAGGCAGAGTGGGGTTCAGACCAGCCCTCTGTGGAATCCCAGCTGGGCAGCCATCGGGGACTGCACCAAACTGTGGAAGATTTCAAGGCTAAGATTGAACGAGCCAAGACGGATGAGGTAATTCACAATATAAGTGCAAAATAACAAATAATTTCTAGTCAATAGATCAAGCATTTCAATATTATGTTCTTCAGAATCAGCTATCACCAATAAGCAAAGGCACATATAAAGACTACCTGGGTAAACTGGACCTACAGTATGGAAAACTGCTGGTAAATATATAAATGTTGTCTTACTGAAATAAATATAGAAGGAAACCTATAGATAATTATAATTTACATTTATTTTCTAGAATTCTTCAAAGTCTCGTCTGAGAAACTTGGATTCACTTCATGCATTTGTCAGTGCTGCTACAAAAGAACTGATGTGGCTCAACGACAAAGAGGAGGAGGAGGTCAACTATGACTGGAGCGACAGGAACACAAATATGACAGCTAAGAAAGACAACTACTCTGTATGTTTTCCCGTCTGTTTCCCATTTTATGTAATGTTGAAACAGTTCTTTCAAAAGGGTAACCATTTCTTGATTTTTAGGGTCTTATGCGAGAACTTGAACATCGGGAGAAGAAGGTCAATGACATTCAGGCCATGGGTGACAAACTTGTTCGCGATAATCATCCTGGCAAAAAGACCGTTGAAGTAACTATGACTATCATTCTATGTCAGCCAAACCGACAGAACAATAAAATTATGACTCAATGCATAGAAAAGACTATATTTGTACTTGCTAAATGTAGTGTCCTGCACATTCATTTACAGTTTACTGGTATCAGTCTTTTGAACAACAGTGATTTGGAATTACCAACACTTTAGAAAGAGAGAAAATGAAATACTTTTAAATATACACCACTTATGGTAATATTAATTTATTAATGCAATCTTTGATCTAGGCTTTCACAGCTGCTCTGCAGACTCAGTGGAGCTGGCTCCTTCAACTGTGCTGCTGCATTGAGGCTCATCTAAAGGAAAACACAGCCTACTATCAGGTAATTCACCAACCACTACTGGAAAATTCAGCACATTTTAGTGCCCATAGCAATAACATCTGTCTTTTTTACAGTTCTTTGCTGATGTGAAGGAGGCCCAGGATAAGATGACAAAGTCACAAGAAAACATGAAAAAGAAGTACAGCTGTGATCGCAACACAACAGCCACACGCTTGGAGGATCTGCTGCAGGATGCTGTGGTGGGTGTCTTATCCAGTAGCGAAAAATATTTATATTGTACATTGTGTTGTATTAATATGGATGAAAATATGAAAAAAAAATATAAATACATCTTAACAGGAAGAGAGAGAGCAGCTGAATGAGCTAAAGACTATGGTAACTGGCCTTAACAAAAGAGCCAAGACCATCATCCAACTGAAGCCACGTAACCCCACCACCCCAATCAAAGGAAAACTGCCCATTCAAGCGGTGTGTGACTTCAAGCAACAGGAGGTAAATTAAATATCATTTTGTCTAATGTCTGGGTTAATTTAGAAAAGTTTACGGTAATAACTATATAAATTGAATCATTTATCATGTATAGTATATTTAGTCATCTAAATAGAATATACTTGATCATTTTGATCGTTGTGGTAAAGTCATGTTGTATTTCTTCTGTTTAGATCACCGTTCATAAAGGAGACGAGTGTGCACTTCTTAACAACTCACAGCCATTCAAGTGGAAGGTGCTGAATCGGACTGGAAATGAGTCTGTGGTCCCCTCTGTCTGCTTCATAGTACCTCCCATCAACAAGGAAGCTCTGGACAGTGTAGCCAGGTCAGCCCAAGGCACAACTGAAGACAATTTTTATTATGGTTTACATTAAGTAATGACATTATGTGCTTGACTCACTATGTCTTCTCCTGTGGTTTAGTCTGGACGGAGGCCAACAGCAGATGGTGTTGATGTGGCAGAAATACTACATAGACATGAAGAGTCTGTTGTCGTGGCAATACCTGATGAAAGACTTTACGCAGATTAATTCATGGAACATTACTCTGGTAAATTTACAGCTAAATTATGTATATTACCTCTATGTAAACTATTAAACTGTGAAGTGTTATGTATTAAGCTTTATTCAACCCCAGCCAGAGTTATTTGCTTGAATATTTGAGCACAACTCTTGTATGTGTTTTGTGCAGATTTTGTTTGCCTTTGAATGCACAGGTTGAGTGAGGTACAACTTGTTAAGTGAAAAACAACAGATTGCATTTTTGTTTTCTAAATGAATTAAAATTGAATTACAAGATCTGCACATGCTGTTGTGTTATCAAATTAAGTCAAAATATATTTACAGTAATACAGTTGGTTCTGTTATTATTATTAGTGTTTACTTATTTATTTAGATTTCATATTTCAAAGCTAATTATTCATTCAATCTAATATTTTATATTAGATTTAATTTCAATTTGGTAAATTACATTGCAGTGTTACTTTGTTTAGCATTCTATGTGAAATCTAAACCTCATTTTCTATATTTTAAAGTTGAAGTCCATGAAGCCAGAAGAGTACAGGCTGGTGATGAGGAACCTGGAGCTGCACTTCCAGGATTTTATGAGGGACAGCCAGGACTCTCAGATGTTTAGACCTGATGACCGCATGCAAGTGGAGCAGGACTATGCCAAGGCGACACAACATTTTGAAAACCTCCTTCATTCTATGGAGAAAGGTAACACGGAAATCTAAAATGAACTAATCTAATGTAGAACTGCAGATAAACATTTTACTGTTTGAGTATAGAAATTCAGGGGATTTATGTTTCTAATTCGTCTTTCAGAAACAATGTCTTTTAAGACCAAAGGTGAGTGGTGTGAAGGCAGAACAGCACTTAAAGTTATAGGCTGTAAACACGCTTATATAAGCGAGTGACTGCATGTTGCTCTGCTTATTTCATTCTTTCACTATTATCCGTTTTTATGTTTTGACCAAATAAAAGCACATAATATTGTATTGCATGGTTTGATACAGTGTTGCAAAAGGTACTTGAAAATACATTAAAAGCTTAAACTACACATTTGGTGTAGATAATGTCGATGGCTTATCAAAAAATACACTCTTGGCTTTTGGCTTTTTATGGTCAGTCTTTAAGCTGTTTTTGTCAGACTGTGAATTGTACAGTACTAAGGATATTATACAGCATAACAACAATTTCCATGTTGTTTAGGTCAACAGGATGAGACACTGTGTAAGAACTACATCTCTGAGCTGAAAGACCTGCGTATGCACATTGAGGACTGTGAGAACAGCACTGTGGCTCGAATCCGAAAACCAGTGGAGTCAGAGCCTCTGAAGGATTGTCTCCAGAAGACATCAGAGCAGAAGGTACACCCTTCACATGTCTTTGTTATGCATCATGAATCTCAACAGTGAAATGATATCTTAATTGACCACAAACCCAAATATTTACACTTCTCTAGTTTGTGCTGTACTGAGAAACTAAATTTAAACAGGGAAGAAATTGCTACTGTTAAGCATAAAAGCCGCTACGTTTACCTCCCTATCTCTATCCCCCCTATAACGGTTTTGATGATGAGTCATGATGCTTTTTACCAATGGATGTAATGGACTAAAAAAAATATTCTGTCTAATTGCAGAAAGTGCAGGTGGAGCTGGATGGTCTGAAGAAGGACTTGGATAAAGTCTCTACAAAGACGCAGCAGGTCCTGAACTCGCCTCAGCCCTCGGCCTCAGTTCCAGTGCTCCGCTCAGAGTTGGACCTCACAGTACAGAAGATGGATCACGCCCACATGCTCTCTTCTGTCTACCTTGAGAAGTGAGTGGAACACCCAGTTTTCATAATGATTTGGACTTTCTACTTAACGTGAGTGTGAAGTATTTAACCCACTAACCGTCCTCAGGCTGAAGACGGTAGAAATGGTGATCCGCAACACCCAGGGTGCAGAGGGTGTTCTCAAACAATATGAGGACTGCCTACGTGAGGTTCACACTGTTCCCAGTGACGTCAAAGAAGTGGAGTCTTATAGAGCCAAGCTCAAGGTTGTAATGTTTATTTTTGTATACTACAGGCTAATTAAATTTAAAAATTTAAATAATCTTCATCTTAATCTTTTTCTTCATTGTTATTTTTAATAGAAAATGCGAGCAGAAGCAGAGGCTGAACAACCAGTGTTTGATTCCTTGGATGAGGAGTTAAAGAAGGCTTCAACAGTCAGTGACAAGATGTCCCGCGTGCACAGTGAGCGTGATGTGGAGCTAGACCACTACCGTCAGCTCTTGTCCAATCTGCAAGAACGCTGGAAGGCTGTCTTCACCCAGATCGACCTCCGACAGAGGGACCTGGAGCAGCTGGGCCGCCAGCTCGGCTACTATAGGGAGAATTACGACTGGCTCATCCGCTGGATCAATGATGCCAAGCAAAGGCAAGAGAGAATACAAGCTATACCCATCACTGACACCAAAACCCTGAGAGAACAGCTGGCACAGGAGAAGGTTTGTGTTGCTTTTTAAAATTATTTTATTTGTAACAGCATTTGAAATGTTTATGAGTGTGTTTTCTATTGTAGAGGCTACTTGAGGAAATTGAGAACAACAAAGATAAAGTGGATGAATGTCAGAAATATGCTAAATCTTACATTGATACAATCAAAGTAAGTGTAAAAACACAGTGTAATACATACTTATATATTCAATGATAAAATCTGATCATATTCTTGTTTTATTCCTACAGGATTATGAACTACAGTTAGTGGCTTACAAAGCACAAGTGGAGCCTCTTACTGCTTCACCCTTAAAGAAAACCAAGCTAGATTCTGCCTCAGACAACATTATTCAAGAGGTAAGATTTTATAAAACAAATAGTATGCAATCTTTTACTTCACAGCTAAACTAACATTTTTATTTTCCCTCTTTATTAGTATGTAACACTGAGGACTCGATACAGTGAACTGATGACACTGACTAGTCAGTACATCAAGTTCCTGAATGACACAGAGCGCCGCCTAGAGGATGAGGAGGTACGTGACAACTGGCTGAGGTTTCCTCTCTGTTCTAACATGAGTCTAACTAACTTAATAATAATAATCCAAATGCAGAAAAAACGATTCAAATGATTCGCCGACCACCGACGGCATGCTAGCACGTTTTCTTTATCACAAATTGAAACATTTCCACATTCAATTATTGTATGGGTTACAATTTGCTGTGAAAAGGCATGAAATATGGTATGTTTTCTGTGGCTGAACTGACTGAAACAAATAATTGTTGAGTGGATTTCATACATTTAACAAGAAATAGAATTTAATCTGAATATATTTATAAATCAATTAATTGTGCCTGGTTATCCATTGATAAAGGGGGTTCTTTTTCACTTTGCTTATTCTTCTTTATCAAAATTCTGCTTCATTTTTTAAAGATCACACAAGCCTATCCCCAAATGAAATTAACTTTCAACCTATTTTCTAACCCTACTCTTTTGCTTCTGTGCCTTTCTTAACTGCTTGCCAGTGCTTTCCCACGATGAATGCTTGACTTGTTTGAGCATTAAAAAGGTAATTGATAAATCCTCTCACGTCTGTCTATTTCACTTTATTTTTTTCTCGCATTCTTCTGTTTACCTGCCTCATGCATTTGGCTGCATAAAGCGCTTTCTACTATAGATTTTTGTCTTGCTCCTCTTGGCCCTGTTTTTTCCCATGTTGCTTTTTGGCTAAGCTTTAATTTTGAAACATTATGTTTTCGTAAAATAGCCTCTGTTCCTTGCTCTGGTCATCTTTTGGCAAAAAGTGATTAAAAGAACCCCATGTGCACGGAATGGTTTTGGTTTTAGTGAATGGTGTGAATAATAACCACTTGTGTAGATGGGCAACTTAAATATGGGAAAAAGGAAATGTAAACCAATAGTTAGAAATAGCCCAAATTAATTTACCTAATTAATTGGCTTGTACAAAAATAAATAAATAAATAAACATTTTTTAATCTACAGCTGCAGTTGCATGCCATTTAATTTCTTTGCTGTGATGTAAGGTCATTTTGGATCCATACATTAATTGATAAACTGCCATCTTCCATTTTATCTTTGTTTTAATAACATTTGTGATTGAACTTGCACTGGGAATGTAATCACTCAAATTAATGTTTGTCTAATACGCATTATGTTCTTTGACCGTGATCTAAGCTAACTTTTACAATAACATTTACTGGTAATACATTACATTAAATTGCTTATTCTCCAGTGGGATCAGCTTATGCTTATTCTAATAAGCACAACTGTCTCATGTAGTATAGCTATTTAAAGTAAAGTATTACCTTATCATGCTTGATTATAATCCTTTCTCTATAATTTGCTTCCACTAATGCAGAAAGCTGCAGAGAAACTCAAAGCAGAAGAAAAGAAAAAAATGGCCGAGATGCAGGCTGAACTAGACAAACAGAAACAGTTAGCTGATGCTCATGCAAAAGCCATTGCCAAAGCAGAAAAAGAAGCCAATGAGCTGAGACTTAGAATGCAGGAAGAAGTGAGCAAAAGAGAAATCGCAGCCGTAGATGCACAAAGACAAAAGTCCAACATCCAACTGGAACTCCATGAGCTGAAAAATCTCTCTGAGCAACAGATTAATGACAAAGCCCAACAGGTAGAAGAAGCTCTTCAAAGCCGGGCAAAGATTGAGGAGGAAATACACTTAATAAGAATCCAACTAGAGACTACAGTAAAGCAAAAAATGATTGCAGAATCTGAGCTTAAGCAACTTCGTGACAAAGCTGATGAAGCTGAAAAACTCAGAAAGGCCGCTCAAGATGAGGCAGAGAAACTTCGCAGACAGGTCAATGAAGAAACACAAAAGAAGCGCTTAGCAGAAGAAGAGCTTAAGCGCAAATCTGATGCAGAGAAAGAGGCCGCACGCCAAAAGCAAAAAGCTCTGGAAGACCTTGAAAATCTTAGAATGCAGGCGGAGGAGGCTGAGAGGAGAGTTAAACAAGCTCAGATAGAAAAGGACAGACAAATACAAGTAGCACATGCAGCTGCCCAGAAAAGTGCTGCTGCTGAACTCCAGAGCAGACACCTGTCCTTTGTGGAAAAAACATCCAAGTTGGAAGAATCCCTTAAACAAGAGCATGGTGCCGTACTTCAACTACAACTGGAAGCCACGCGTCTTCAAAAACAACAGGCTGATGCTGAAAATGCTAAAGAAGAGGCCGAAAGGGAGCTTGAAAAATGGCGGCAAAAAGCCAACGAGGCTCTGCGACTAAGGCTTCAAGCTGAGGAAGAAGCCCACAAAAAGACCATTGCACAGGAAGAAGCTGAGAAACAGAAGGAGGATGCCGAGCGTGAAGCTAAGAAGAGAGCTAAAGCCGAAGAGTCTGCTCTAAAGCAAAAGGACATGGCAGAGAAGGAGCTGGAGAGGCAGAGAAAGTTTGCTGACAGCACTGCTCAGCAGAAACTCAATGCCGAACAGGAGCTGATCCGTCTCAGGGCAGACTATGACAATGCTGAGCAACAAAGGTCCCTTCTGGAAGATGAACTATACCGTTTAAAGAATGAAGTCATTCGGGCTGAGCAACAAAGAAAACAACTAGAAGATGAGCTGGCTAAAGTGAGGAGCGAAATGGATGTACTTATTCAGATGAAATTCAAAGCAGAACAGGAGAGCATGTCCAATACAGAGAAGAGCAAACAGCTTCTGGAGGACAAAGCTGCCAAGATGAGAGATCTAGCAGATGAGGCAAGTCGACTCAGAGCTATTGCTGAAGAAGCCAAGCAGCAAAGACAGATAGCTGAGGAGGAAGCGGCCCGTCAGAGGGCTGAAGCAGAGAGGATCCTCAAAGAAAAGTTAGCAGCAATTAGTGAAGCCACCCGCCTCAAAACTGAAGCTGAAATTGCCCTAAAAGAAAAGGAAGCAGAAAATGAAAGACTTCGCCGTAAAGCTGAAGATGAGGCATACCAGAGGAAAGCTCTTGAAGATCAGGCTAATCTGCACAAGCAGGAGATTGAAGAAAAGATCATCTTACTCAAAAAATCATCAGATGCTGAAATGGAACGACAAAAGACACTTGTGGATGATACCCTCAAACAAAAGCGAATCGTTGAAGAAGAAATCAGAATACTCAAGCTCAACTTTGAAAAAGCCTCCTCTGGCAAACTTGATCTAGAGCTTGAACTTAACAAACTGAAAAACATTGCTGATGAAACCCAACAGAGCAAACTCAGGGCTGAAGAGGAGGCAGAAAAACTGAGGAAACTTGCCTTGGAGGAAGAAAAGCGCAGAAGAGAAGCTGAGGAAAGAGTGAAGAAAATTGCAGCTGCAGAGGAGGAGGCAGCCAGACAGAGAAAGGCAGCCTTAGACGAATTGGAACGTTTGAGAAAGAAAGCTGAAGAAGCCAGAAAGCAGAAAGATGAAGCTGACCAAGAAGCTGAAAGGCAGCTTGTTGCAGCACAGCAAGCAGCAATTAAATGTAGCGCAGCCGAGCTCCAAGTCCAGACGGTTCTTGCTCAGCAGAAAGAAGATGGTGCCATGCAGCAAAAGCTGAAGGAAGAATATGAAAAAGCAAGAGCTCTAGCAAAAGAAGCTGCAGAAGCTAAAGAAAAGGCAGAACGTGAGGCAACATTGCTTCGCCAACAAGCTGAGGAGGCAGAGAGGCAGAAAGCTGCTGCTGAACAAGAAGCTGCAAACCAGGCCAAAGCACAAGAGAACGCAGAGAGGCTGAGAAAAGAGGCAGAGTTTGAAGCCGCTAAACGGGCACAAGCAGAAGCCTCAGCGCTAAAGCAAAAGCAACAAGCTGATGCAGAGATGGCCAAGCACAAGAAACTGGCTGAACAAACATTAAAGCAAAAGTTCCAAGTTGAGCAAGAGCTTACAAAGGTGAAACTTAAACTGGATGAAACTGATAAACAGAAATCCCTCCTTGATGACGAACTTCAGCGCTTAAAGGATGAGGTGGATGATGCTGTTAAGCAGAGGTCTCAGGTGGAGGAGGAGCTTTTCAAAGTCAAAGTTCAAATGGAGGAGCTAATGAAACTGAAACTCAAGATTGAAGAGGAGAATCAGCGTCTCATTAAGAAAGACAAAGACAGCACTCAAAAGTTGCTTGCAGAAGAAGCTGAAAATATGAAGAAGCTGGCTGAAGATGCTGCCAGGCTTAGCATAGAAGCACAAGAGGCAGCTCGTCTGAGACAAATTGCAGAGGATGACCTTAATCAGCAACGAGCCCTGGCAGAAAAAATGCTAAAAGAGAAAATGCAAGCAATTCAGGAAGCTTCTCGACTTAAGGCTGAAGCTGAAATGCTGCAAAGACAAAAGGATCTTGCACAGGAGCAAGCTCAAAAACTACTGGAGGATAAGCAACTTATGCAGCAGCGCCTGAATGAGGAGACCGAGGAGTACCAGAAATCTCTTGAAGCAGAGAGGAGAAGACAGTTAGAGATATTGGCTGAAGCAGAAAAACTCAAACTGCAAGTTTCTCAGCTCAGTGAGGCTCAGGCAAGAGCCGAAGAGGAAGCCAAAAAGTTCAAGAAACAGGCAGACACAATTGCTTCCCGTCTCCATGAGACAGAGATAACTACAAGAGAAAAAAATACAGTTGTGGAAAAACTGGAAAATGAAAGGCTAAACTCCAGCAGAGAAGCTGATGATTTACGCAAAGCAATCGCAGACCTAGAGAAGGAGAAGGCTAGACTCAAAAAAGAAGCAGAGGAACTTCAATATAAATCAAAAGAGGTATTGTGTTAATAATGACATAACCATGCAGCTTATGTCATTGAGAATAATCTCTACAAACTAACCAATTCCTCTCTTATCAATGCTCTATCCATTTCCTTCACTAACTCCGAATCCATATGGTTTAAATATTGTTTCTGTTTTACATTGCACTGTGCTCATGCATATTGCATCCGGTATGTGTCCCATTCCCTGGAATGACATGACATGCATTTTACCATTTTCAGGAACATCATAATGCTGCTGTAGATGGAAAAAGAACATATACACATTTTTTTATTAAGTGAAGTATTTACGGTTAGGCATTTGTTTTGCAGTTATATTATTAAAATGCCAAAATACAAATTAAATGAGAATTTTGGTAATTTTATTTTATTCATAAAGTTATGATAAAGCTCTATATTCAGTTTTACTGATATACCAGACTAAATATTAAAATATTTAACGCACATTGCAGAATGTCCAGTTTATCAGCGCAAAACAGTGTAATTTATCTGAATATGCATAAGCAAAGTGCATTGTATATTGTTGTCCTAGTCAAACAAGCAGGTGCACATTAATGCCTACAGTATTGAGGAATTGTATTTCAGTTCAAGGGAAACACAAAAACGCTTTTACATTTAGTCTAGAGAATTGAGATGCACCTGTATTATGTTTAGGTAAACTGTACTTGGTATACCATTGCATTTGAATACTCACTTTATTTTTTCTTTCTCTTTTTTAGATGGCTGATGCACAACAGAAACAAATAGAGCATGAGAAAACCATGCTGCAGCAGACATTCCTAACAGAAAAGGAGATGCTCTTGAGGAAGGAAAAGCAAATTGAAGATGAGAAAAAGAGACTCGAGAGTCAGTTTGAGGAGGAAGTCAGAAAGGCCCAAGCTCTCAAAGATGAACAGGAGCGTCAGAAGAAACAAATGGAGGAAGAGAAGAAAAAACTGCAAGCCAACATGGATGCTGCCCTCAACAAGCAGAAGGAGGCTGAGCTGGAAATGCTTAACAAACAGAAAGAAATGCAGGAGCTGGAGAGGATTAGACTTGAGCAAGAAAGAAAACTTGCTGAGGAAAACCAGAAACTGCGAGAGAAACTGCAACAGATGGAGGATGCACAAAAGGAGCACACAAACATTGAAACCATAACAGTGGTTGAGACTACAAGAAAAGTCCTCAATGGCCAAAATGCTTCAGATATAACAGATGGGGTTGATCCTTTGTCTTTTGATGGCATTCGTGAAAAAGTTCCTGCAAGTCGATTGCTTGATATTGGCCTTCTACCTAAGAAAGAGTTTGACAGATTGAAAGATGGCAAAACTACTGTGCATGAGCTAGGAGAGAGTGATAACCTGAAAGAAATTCTTAAAGGAAGAAACTGCATTGCTGGAATACTAAGCCCAACTAATCAGAAAATGTCTATCTATCAAGCATCCAAAGAAAAGAAGATTACACTAGGTACAGCTATGATTCTTCTTGAGGCCCAAGCTGCTACAGGTTTTATGATAGACCCCATTAACAACAAGAAATTCTCTGTTAATGAAGCAGTTAAAGAGGGTTTGATTGGGCCAGAATTGCACAACAAAATGGTGTTGGCTGAGAGAGCTGTTGTTGGCTACAAAGATCCCTACACTGGTGGAAAAATATCTACTTTTGAAGCAATGAAGAAGGGTCTCATTGAACATGATCATGCAATCAGAATTCTTGAAGCTCAACTGGCAACTGGGGGCCTTGTTGATCCTATTCACAGTCATAGAGTGCCCACTAATTTGGCCTGTAAACAAGGCCAAGTATGATGCAGAAATGAACAAGATCATGGAGAAACCCTCAGATGATAACAAGGGGTACTTTGACCCAAGTACTCAAGAACCTCTTACGTATACTGAACTAATGGCAAGATGCAAAACTGACTCAGACACAGGGCTTCTGCTCCTGCCCATCACAGACCAAGCTGCATATTGTTCAAGCATGTACACAGAAGAAGAGACTAAAGATGTTTTCAACAAAACAACTGTGTCAGTACCATTTGGTAGATTCCAGGGCAAAACAGTCACTATTTGGGAAATCATCAACTCTGAATACTTCACTGAAGACCAGAAAAAAGACCTTCTACGTCAATACAGGACAGGCAAAATCACAATTGAAAAGATCATCAAGATTGTAATTACTGTTGCAGAAGACAAAGAGAAGACAAGTGAAATCACATTTGATGGTATTAGAGGCCCTGTCCCTGCCGCAGATCTAGTAGAATCCAAAATTATTGATAAGGACTTGTATAATAAATTGCACAAAGGGGCTGTAACAGTTAAAGAAGTGTCTGAAATGAAGCCTGTTGAAAAAGCATTGAAAGGTACAAATGGAATTGCAGGTGTATACATAGAGTCTTCCAAACAGCCAATGTCTTTCTATCAAGCTATGAAGAAGGACATGATGAGACCAGGGCTCGCTCTAAATATGCTTGAAGCCCAGACAGCAACAGGGTACATTACTGACCCCATCACCAACCAGAAGCATACAGTTGATGAAGCTGTGAAAGCAGGAGTTGTTGGCCCAGAGCTGCATGAAAAGCTTCTGTCTGCTGAGAGGGCTGTGACAGGTTATAGAGATCCATATACGGGAAAAACTGTGTCTTTATTCCAAGCAATGAAGAAAGATCTGATCCCAAAAGAACATGGCATAAGGCTGCTTGATGCCCAATTGACCACTGGGGGTATCATTGATCCAGTGAAGAGCCACCGCATCCCTCATGATGTAGCCTGTCAGCGGAACTATTTTGATGATGAAACAAAACAAATCTTAACTACTCCCACCAATGAGGCTAAATGCTTTTTCAATCCTAATACAAAAGAGAATGTCACATATGCACAGCTCTTTGAGAAATGCATCACTGACAAGAAAACAGGTCTCCAGCTCCTGCCTTTGTCTGATGAAGCAATCAAGTGTAAAGAAGAGACAACTTGCACAGAGGCTCAAACCAAAGAAGCAATGACCCAGGCCACTATGGAGTTGGATAGTGGTCCATTTAAGGGCAGGAAAGTCACAATCTGGGAAATAATTCATTCTGAATATTTCACAGAGCAGGAGAGAAATGACCTCCTCAAACAGTTTATGTCTGGAAAGATCACTATTGAAAAGCTAATAAAGATTATTATTACTGTCGTCACTGAAAAAGAAGTAAAGAAACAAGAGCAATCCACTTTCAAGGGACTCAGAGCAAATGTACCAGCAAGCTCACTCTATGACTCTAAAATCATTGACAAACCTACATTCAATCTCCTTCAGCAAGGCAAAACAACACCTGCAGAAGTCAGTAGAAACCCCAATGTCAGTAAATATCTCCAGGGCTCAGATTGCATTGCTGGTATTTACAATGAGCCTTCAAGAGAAAAGATGAGCATTTACCAAGCAATGAAGAAAAAGCTCCTCAGACACAATACAGGGCTTGCTCTTTTAGAGGCCCAGGCAGCCACTGGGTTCATTGTGGATCCATTAAAAAACCAGTGCATGTCAGTGGATGAAGCAGTTAGGTCGGGCATTGTTGGACCTGAGTTACACGAGAAGCTCCTGTCTGCAGAGAAGGCTGTCACAGGTTACAAAGACCCATTTACCGGTAACAAAATCTCCCTCTTTGAAGCAATGCAAAAAGACTTGATACTAAAGGAGCAAGCTTTGCCAATGCTTGAAGCCCAGATGGTTTGTGGAGGCATCATTGATCCAGTTAACAGCCACCGAGTCCCCACTGATGTGGCATATCAGAAAAACATGTTTGATAAACAAACTGCCAAAATTCTGTCTGAACCATATGATGAAAACAAAGTTTTCTCAGACCCTGAAAATGATGAAAATGTCACCTACAAACAGCTTAAAGACAAGTGTCAAAAAGATCCAGATACAGGCTTGTACATGCTGCCACTCTCAAAGCCACAGTCCCCAACTGTTGTAGAAAAGACCTACCTCTACACAGAGGAACAAACACAAAGTGACCTGAGCAACACTCAAATTGACATTCCAATTGAGGGTTTCTCTGACAAACCAATGAACCTCTGGGATATTATGAATTCAAATCTGCTTCCTGAACAAGAAAGACAGAAGCTCATGGATGAATACCGCTCTGGTAAAATCACAAAAGAACGGATGATTATCATCATTATTGAGATCATGGAGCAGAGAGAAATAATCAGAAATGATGCTCCATTATCATGCACAACAATAAGAAGAAGGATAACAATTGAAGAATTGTACAATGCCCGAATCATAGATTTGGAGACATATAATCTCCTTATACAAGGAAAAAGAGATATCCGTGACATAATGGAGTTGAGCAGTGTAAAGCAGTATCTCTATGGCACTGGTTGTGTTGCGGGAGTCACAACTGACTCGTGTAAAATGAGCATCTACCAAGCAATGAAGAGAGATTTCCTGACACCAGAGCTAGCCCTTAGTCTGCTAGAAGCACAGGCAGCTACCGGCTTTATTGTAGACCCAATTAAGAATGAAACACTTACAGTTGATGAAGCTGTCCGCAAAGGTGTGGTTGGACCAGAAATCCATGACAAACTCTTGTCAGCAGAAAGAGCAGTCACAGGATACAAAGATCCTTACAGTGGAAAAGTTATCTCTCTTTTCCAGGCCATGAAAAAAGACCTTGTAACCCAAGATTATGCTCTTAAAATGTTAGAAGCACAAACTGCCACAGGAGGTATTATTGACCCTGAATTCCAGTTCCACCTCCCAACAGATGTCGCAATGCAAAGAGGTTACATTAATAAAGAAACCAATGAGAAACTAAATGATGATGTTAAAGGCTTTATTGACCCCGTAACGGAGGAGAAAGTTTCATATGCAGAGTTACTGAAGAGATGCAAGCTAGAGGGAGGACTGCGTCTTCTTTCTTTGGGAGACAAGAGGTTGATGTTTAAGGGTCTTAGGAAACAGATCACAATTGAGGAGCTTCTACGCTCACAGATTATTGACCTAGAGACTGTCAAACAATTGAATGAAGGTGCATTATCACTGGATGAAGTTAGTAATAGACTATCACGATACCTTGAAGGTACAGGCTGTATTGCTGGTGTATTTTTGGAATCATCAAAAGAACGTTTATCCATTTATCAGGCTATGAAGAAAAATATGATTAGACCAGGTACAGCATTTGAGCTCCTTGAAGCACAAGCAGCCACTGGATACGTCATTGATCCCATCAAAAACCTCAAACTTACAGTTACTGAAGCTGTAAAGATGGGAATTGTAGGACCTGAGTTCAAAGACAAACTTCTTTCAGCTGAGCGGGCAGTCACAGGCTATAGAGATCCATATTCAGGCAAGACAATATCTCTGTTCCAGGCCATGAATAAGGGTCTCATATTGAAAGATCATGGCATTCGTCTACTAGAAGCCCAGATTGCTACAGGAGGAATCATTGACCCAGAGGAAAGTCACCGCCTGCCAGTTGAAGTTGCCTACAAGCGTGGCTTCTTTGATGAAGAAATGAATGAGATTTTGACAGATCCGTCTGATGATACCAAAGGTTTCTTTGATCCCAACACTGAGGAAAATCTAACATACTTGCAGCTCATGGAAAGGTGCATTAAAGACCCTGACACTGGTCTGGTGCTTCTGCTGCTGAAAGATAAACATCGTGAAAGAAAAACATCTTCTAAATCTTCTGTCCGTAAGCGCCGTGTTGTCATTGTTGACCCTGAAACTGGTAAAGAAATGACGGTTTATGAAGCATACAGACGGGGATTAATTGACCATCAAACCTACTTGGAGCTTGCAGAGCAGGAGTGTGAATGGGAAGAGATCACAATGAGCTCCTCAGATGGCACGGTCAAAACTCTAATCATTGACAGAAGATCTGGGCGACAGTATGATGTTGATGATGCTATTGGCCGTGGTCTGATTGACCAACGCTCACTTGAAAGCTACAGGTCTGGAAACTTATCCATCACAGAGTTTGCAGATATGCTTTCTGGAAATATAGGAGGTTTCCGCTCACGGTCATCTTCAGTTGGTTCCACCAGTGGCTCAACCTCCTCTTATCCCATGAGCCCCATTCCAACTATTAAAGCACCTGCAGTCATATGGAATGACCCAAGTGAAGTCACTTGTCCCATCGCTGGTATACTGGATATAGACACTCTGGAAAAAATTTCTGTAACAGAGGCCATGCATAGAAACTTGGTAGACAACATTACAGGTCAACGACTTTTAGAAGCACAAGCTTGCACAGGAGGAATAATTGACCCCTCAAGTGGAGAAAGATTCTCAGTCAGTGATGCCACAGAGAAGGGTCTGGTGGATAAAATTATGGTTGATCGTCTTAACCTTGCCCAAAAAGCATTTAATGGCTTTGAAGACCCTAGAACAAAATCTAAAATGTCAGCTTCCCAAGCACTGAAAAAGGGCTGGTTGTATTATGAAGCTGGGCAGCGATTCCTTGAGATCCAGTATCTCACAGGTGGACTTATTGAGCCTGAGGTCGAGGGAAGAGTGTCACTCGATGAGTCTATCAGGAAGGGAACTATTGATTCACGCACTGCCCAAAAACTCAGAGATGTGAATGCTTATTCAAAATATTTGACATGTCCCAAAACCAAACTTAAAATCTCCTTTAAAGACGCAATGGACAAAAGCATGGTTGAGGAAGGATCTGGCCTGAGGCTTCTTGAAGCATCATCAGAATCCACCAAAGGAGTGTATAGTCCCTATAATCTGAGTGGAACTGGCTCGGCCTATGGCTCTCGGTCTGGATCAAGGACTGGTTCCAGAACTGGATCAAGGAGGGGCAGTATTGATGCTGGCTCTGCCTTCAGCATGAACTTCTCCTCCTCCTCTTATACATCATCTTCAACCAGCTATGGACGCAGATTCTGATAGCCATATGTTATGTATAATTTAGTGCAACCACACATAAACCCACTAATAGAAATGAACAATAGAACTGAAGACTAACTAACTCTTAAGAAATAGACACATAGCAGTTATTTATTTATTGTTTAGTTTTTAGTTTTAGTTTTTTTCTGTTTTGTTTTGTTTTGCATGTAGAGTTTAGAATAGTACAATTTTAAACATAGTTTATATTTTTGGACATAACATACTATACCTGTTAAAAGGTTGCTTTGCAAGTTCATTAATTTTTAGAAATTTACAGTATTACTTTCTTTGACATTTTTATGACTTTAAAAACTTTATATTCTATATGTAAACAAAGTTTTGATATTTTACAGACAAAGATTTTACATTGAATATTTGTATAGAATATGGATGGGTTCATGATATTTCTTATGTTAAAATCTTCTTGATAAAGACTATTTCTTTATTACTCTTGGCACATAAAGCCAGACACTACAACAAAAACACACATATTGCCTTTTAAAAGTTGACATTGCTTTTATGTTAATATGTTTATAATCAGTGGACATGTAAATATTACTTTGACACAACATGATTAGTCACTAGAGAAGCTTTGCAATTTTGCCCAAGTGTTCCTGGTCAATCCCAAGGTGATGTCAGACCTCATGCAGCTTCATCACACAGATGTGCCTCCTGTAATATAAGTTACTGTAAGTTATTTCTTTTTTTTTTAAATTTTGATTTAACCAATTTGCACCCTTTTTGTATACAGTTGATTTAATCCTTTCTGTTTTCAGGTATTTAGGTTTTGTTGATTTTATTGAGTGACTATTGTTTGTCTTTGTGTTTGCAGACTTATAGAATGCATTTCCTGAAGATGGACACTCAGCTGGCTAGGTCTTATAGTCCCCATCATCATGTCCTCATCCAGGCAAGTGGAGTTTTACAGATTTTAACTTAAGCTTTTCACATATATATGTATATGTATATATATGTATATGTGTATATGTATATATGTATGTATGTATGTGTATATGTGTGTATGTATATATGTATGTATATATATATATATATGTATATGTGTATATATATGTGTGTGTGTGTGTGTGTGTGTGTGTATATATATATATATATATATATATAAATTTTAAATATTTTATATATATATATATATATATTTTTTTTTTCATTTGTGTTATTGTTTTGTTGTTCTTTATTTATTTATTTATTTTATTATTATTATTTATTATTATTATTATTATTTTTTTTTTAGATTTGCCACTGAATGCCCATTCATCCATAAAGCATTATGACATCATCTTGGAAACTCCAGAATCACTTGGACCTCTGTGCCAATAATTGTGTTTTATTGACTTACTTCTAATTTAAAGAAATTCCAATTTAAAGATGTAGAAAGTCCACTGGGTGTGTTTGTTGTTGCTGATAATGTTGTATAAAAGCAAATACCAAAGTGTTACTTAGAACAACTCTATCCTATTTCACTACATTGTTTGAAAGTGTAATATTAAACAAGTAATTTTGCTGTTCTCAGAAAACATTTTGAAGCATCTGCACCGCATCAGCACTGTTTTGAACACTTTGTTTTTGTCTCTTTGTTTTAATCATTTTATGCATTATACCATACATCTGCTTGCTTGTTATGAATATTCAAATGACAAAAGATATTTGGGAAAAAGTTAGTTTAGAAAATGATTTTGTAAATAAATTTACTTTTAAAAGGTTATTTTGTCATTAATGCAGTTCACAAACTATACAATACTGTGTTGTACACATGATTCAGATAACCTGCTGAACAAAATTATATGCATCAATTCTGGTATATATTTGAGGGTTCTTTGAGTGTCATATGCCTGAATATATTTCTCACCAAGATCTGTTTATGAATTTAGTATTTATACATTTACTTGACCTGACACTTGAGGGCACTTTTTGATTAAAGTAGGATGAAGAGGTAGATCTCCTATTGTTATCAGAATAAGGTTTCTTGCAGCACTTTTGGATTTATTTCAATATAAATTGTTTAGAAAACAATTTGGACAGTTTGAGCTCAAAGTTAAAAGTGGTTTACAGAAAAAGTCAGTAGATTACTCACCACTTGAGGGCACCGTTTGACTGATTTCAGAAAAAAGCAATATATGTATGGTCCAGTAGTTTGATTTCCGTGGTACAAATATAAATATAAGTTACCAGTTAATTTAAAATAAGAAAATAACTAAAGACTACTCAATCTGAGAATTGTCTGTAGAAAAATCACAATGTGCTCTGTAAAACATAGCCACTGGATTCATCAGAAGAACCTGCCAATACCTCCCAGAACTCTTCTATCAGCTCTTTGGAGTATGACCCCTACTTTACTCTCCCATCCATTGGAGGAAGGAAGGTAAGAAACTGATTACTTGGCCATAGCCCAGTCACCCATTAATTGATAATAATCTAGTAAAATCAAAGGTTGAAATGATGAGAAGTGCAACATGCAGTATTTATTCTCTGTCACATGCAGGATGAAGGGGTGCAATTTGAACCACAGGCATTTTCATCAAAGGACCAAAGATATGGGTAACTGTTTTTATGTAATTAAAATCATGTACACTAGGTTGTGAATAGGGATTCAACAACACAGTTTTCTCACAATTCGATTCAATTTGGGTCTCTGAACAACAAAAATCAAAAAGTTATGTCAGTAAGTAAGTACACTGCAGCAATTATGAAGTAAAAACAAGACTAAATACTCCTAAATTCTGTATTTTTGTTTAAAGGATTAGACTAGTACTAAAAATGTGGGCAAAACTATTATAAACACAATCATGTCTATTCTTTTTATTAGACATTTTATTCGATTAGACAATTCTACAACATGAGTCTTTTGTGATGTTCAATGGCTACTGGTTTATAGGGATAAGTAACTAATAAACCATGTTTTCTTCCAAAAATCAAGCAGTTGGCTAATAGTATCCTATATTATGTGATTTAGTGCCGACATGGAGGAGCTGAGTCAGTGGCAGTCTGAGTTCAGAGGTCAAATCAGAGCCTTGAGACAGTGGCTGAAGAACATGGAGATGAGGCTTCCTGCTTCAGACCCCAGGGTCAGTGTCTGTCTGCCTTCTGTTACCTCTGCTTCTAAACATCCCATTATTATTATTATTTTTTTCCTTATCAGTTAGCATTCAAGTTATTTTGATGGTATTTCAACCCCTGAAGTACTGGTATTAACTTAATTCAATACTGACCCTCAACTCTTGAGCAATTGAAAAGGCCACTATACTGTAGTTCCCACTCCACACTGATAACATTGAAACTGCCAGTAAAAGACCAACTTCACATCACAACGGTTAACTAAACCAATGAGTCATGCCATCCGATAAAGGTCCATTGTACATTGTATGAAAAAGAACTTCTCATGACCCAGCATATTCACTTGTGATACTGTGGTGGTCCTGCTCCACTCATGCAGGCTTACTCTGTTAGGCCACAGAGGGAACGAGGGGTTCTTTGTGCCTGGCCAGGGACTGCCAGCTCACTGAAGTGGTTGCTGCTGGAGAGGCCCACTGCACAGATGAGCGAACACAGTGAAAAGGCATTAGAATCAGATGGGAAGAAGAGGCAAAAGGGCAGAGAAAAGAAAATCAAGATTTGTTTTGTTTTGAGAGTGCAAAAATCGCTAAAAGGTGTTGATCGGAAATAACTGGAAATGCTGTGGCCACTCCTCTTTGAAGAAGGGATGATGAAGGGATATTCACAAAAACAGGCAGACCCATTTTAATAAATCAAAAAAGTGAGGACTAGAAAACCAAAAAGTACACATCTGGTGGCAGGACTGTAATGGGTTCAGTGTTCAGTTCATCAACCAGAGGCTTGACATGATAGTTCTCAGTCTAAGCATTTACAAAAATCTAATCTATTATTTGTATCTATAAGTGAAATGAAGAGTTAAACATTGTGTAAATGTAATATTTGTGTTTGTTTTGCCATCATTTCCTAGACATTGCATTACATGCAATATTTAAAATACAATGCTGATAGTTACATTATATGATCACAACATCATTGGCGAGAGTGTCAGTATTCATGGGAAAACACGGATGTACTAACCAGTGCATACATTGTGTAAAGTGGCAGGTGTGTCTCTCTCCAGTGTATTGCATTGGGTCTTTTAACAGGGGCCTGGTTAGAGATGTCCTCATTTGAGCTTCTAACTCCTAACGAGTCCCTCAGGCCTAGACCATAACCGGGAGTGTGGCAGACTAACGCCATTACCATGACAAAAGCCTGAGGTCTGACGCACTTTGGTAAAGACATATTTAAAATAACAAGGTACTTGTGTGTAGTTTCTTTTATGTGGGAATTCCTGTGTATTTTTCATATTAGTCTTAATGGGACTTCATAGGTAAAAAATGTGGATTACAGTTAATAATATTTTAAAGTTTAACCAATGAATAAATAAATTATCTTGTATAAACATGCATATAAAATATAACATGCAGCCATACATGAATTCCTAATGGAAAACCTCCTCAAACATATTCTTGTAGCACTTTTCTTTTCACTTGTCATATTGGTCTTTTGCCTTCATTGAGGTCATAACTTCCCATACATTATTTCCTCTGCAGCCCCAACCCCCACATGGTGGATAAAGACCTGGCGTGTCTTAGACTCCTGGTTCCTGGTTTCCCTGGGCTGGTAGCAGATGCTGCATCTTAAATAAGGCTTGTGCACAGAACATATAAACAGGCCTCATCAGGCCAAGGGAGTAACATCAAGGTTCAAAGATCATTTTCACGTCTATTCTGTGTCTGAAAGCCAGCAAACATGCCCACTGTCATAACCTTTGCCTTAAGGAGATGTTTTCTTACACGCAACACAAAAAGTAAAAACTATATCCAGACTGTGCAAAGTTGCAAAAATGCTATCTTCTAAAACACACAGCTTAGGTTTTGTAGTACCAGATTTGTTCATGTGACCCATGCCTTTGCACAGGTTTATGCAGTACATCCGATGCATTGTTGTCCCCAGCATGTCAAATTGATTTTCTTCAACTTGAAATAATACATTCCTTCAGACTTTTTTATGCTCACACTATTTTGGGGTTAATGGTGATAAATGGTCCCTCCTTTTGTTTTCTGTGCCTATTTCCTCTATATAAAAGCCCGACCTACAGCTGTAAATCCTTCTTTTGCATTGAGCGGCTGCATCAAACATGAGACGGATGATGTGGCTGAACTCTTCCCTATTTCCATGGAGCTAAGCTCTAGACAGACTCTTGATTGTAATTTCCAGTATCTGAGCAGCTCAGCAGAATCTGGGCAACCCAGCAGGGCAGCACAGTGCTTTTACTGGAAGCTACCTCCTTTTTGTGATAAATGACAGTGCACATGTTGAATGGTGCTTCTGGCTTTGACCCTTCTGAGGAGCCCCTTCTTTTCTAATTCTCATCAAGAGGTCTAATTACCATGTTCTGGGGAGACATCATTGAGGCCTGATTTAATCTGACAATGGCACAGGGGTTGGAATAGGAGAGGAGGGGAACAGGATAATACAATCTTGTTCTGGTCCTGCTAAACACCACCCTATGAAATTACACCATACACTATGGGTCTGGTGTTTGTAATGCTGTCCTGTTGCATATTCATATGTTTCATGAATAGTTACAACTGCTAAATAGGCACATGGCTTGAAACCTATCCAATTATGTTAAGAATATACGGAACATATAAATAAATATTCTATTTAAAGTCACACTATGTAACTTTTCTGGTCCATCACCTGCTTGTCTCCATGGAGATGTTATTGCTTTCCCTGGAATGTTCCACAGTATAGCAATAAACTAAGCCATATTGCATCTAATCAATTACAGGTGTTCACTGCTCAAAAATAGGTAAGTTCAGTACAAGACATGCAGTTCGTGAACCCTCCACCAGAAATGTTACATAGTGCACCTTTAAGTCTTAAAGTGGTTTTAAATTACTTTCTTTCAACTTGACTTTACTGTGTGCAAATATCTACCAAGAGCATTGTGTTTTGCCATCTGTTGTAGTCCTCTTTCAGTCATCTGTGTTCTGTATGCTCCATCTCCACAACAGAGAAGAGGCTTTTAATTAGCACTGACAGAACAAGAGGAAAGACAGGCGTGATCAGGTGTCATGTGTCTTCTTGGCAAAGGACAGTCACAGTGATCTGGGTAAATGATGAGAGATCTGGAACCTGTTTAAGAACACTGGATTTGAGCTTATTATTTTTCTTCTTAAAATTGTTATCATTGATTACTCCTATTTAGAACTATTGAAAAAAGAGCACTTTTGAGTTAAATAATCCTAGAGAGTTCTGTTGTTCAGTAGTCGAATACTTTTGTGCCATTACCAACATCTACAAAGAAGTGCTGTTGAAGAGTGGTATTTGATTTGTAATATTTATACCGTATTGTCTGTTGAGACATATATAAGCTTGAAATTCTGTCAAGCAACTGCAATATAAAGTCATTCACCTGAGCACTATTTGCACTATTTATAGAGGTTCAAGTTACGTCTACCTCACATAAAACACAGTAAGCACCTCACGCAAGAGAAGATGTAATAGATTTTCTGAGATAACATGATCAATAATTTTAATAGCTTCATAGCAGACACAGACAGCATTTATCCTTCCCATATTGATGTGGCAACACAATGAGATTTTTTTCATACATGCTGACATAGAGGTCTGCATGGTGAATTGAATAGTGAATCAATGTATAGTGAAAAAACAAAGTGCTGATTTGGAATTGATATTATAGTGTTTAAATACATGTTTTCTATGTTTGATATTATTGCTGTAATAACTGGAAGTGAGTTGAAAAGTAATCGGAGATGTTTTACAGTAATTAGTCGTCTTTGTTGCTGCTTCTGCTCCGACTCTGAATGGGGAAATGGGATGAGCGGTGCAGGGGGTTGGGGTCTGAATGTGCGGGAGACTGGCTTAGTATGGGGTGGGAGTGAGTCGCTTCTTTTGTAGTGTGCACCTCTTTCTCTCTCCTCCACTCCCAAAAAGAAGGGGAGCCGACTCAGGCAGCTGTCACTTAACATGTGAATGTTTCGAGGACAGCCCAGGGGTCTATTGAAAACTCCCCTTTTTTAGCCCCCATCCCAGACCATTTTTCAAGCAAGTTTTCAGATTCACAGTTAGACTTAGAGGAGTGGCTTTGTTGGATAAGAAGGGGGTGAGTTAGCGAGAAAGCCCCTAGTATTGGTACAGGGGGCACTTTATGGCCGATTGGTGGCAGGGCAATCTGAGCTGTGGTTGAATTGGTGCTAAAAGATGGCACCGCCTTGTTTGTGTATGGGCAAAAACCTGACCTTCATGTGAGGAAAAGAACAAACTGATTTTGGCTACAGAGCTGTGGGAGTTAATCTGAGCCGTTGGAATATATTGTCTCTTTTTGGGCACACTATCCCATCAGTAGCGTTAACAAGGGAAGGAATTCCTCTATCGCACAACAAAGAAGAAAGGGAGAGGAGCAGAGAGAGTGAGAGAGGGAGCTGGTGGGAGGGAGGAGAAGTGGAGAGAGGGGAGGGGTGTCCTGTGAGGGGAGGTGGAGGACATTGTTTGCCTGTGACTGTGGGCAACGGAAAAGCATGAGTTATCGGGGCATGTGCAGTTGTGTTTAGAAAAGTGTGTTTGCGGTGTGAGCATGTGGGGATGATTGGACGAGACGGACTATGTGCTCTAAGGGTGTGAGTATGTGGACAGAACCTACAATTTTGGGATGTTGGGACTAAGAGGCGGTTGAAAGGATGCTCAAACAAAGCTGGATTTTTGTCTTTCTCTGCCTGTTTGAATGGGATTTGCAAGGATTCCTCTACTCATGAGGCCGAGATCAGAGCTGGTTTGGGGTAAGTTTTGCTCATTCTAGTTTCACTCTGCCAAAAGGGACAATAACCCAGTAATTCAGTTTTATTTAGAATTTACAGGAGTAATCAATGGAGAAGCTTTCTTTTATTTTTTTTTATTTTTTTAATCTATTCTTAGTTGTGAAAAAATGCAGATAATTATTTAAATTTAAAGGTTTTTTGAGAAATGTATTTTGTATGTTTTCATTTTAAGTTTAAGATAGATTTTTTTTAAATAGGTGACCTTGTGCACTATACAGTAAAAATATTACAACTCTCATGTGAATGCACAGCTGCCATGTTTCATTAAGGGACCACTATCACCAGTGAGGTGCTCCTAGATAGTGCAAGGTTACTGTTGTGTTCATTCAAACCTTTAGGTGTTTATATTGTGTGATTCTTAGACACTACTAGATAATGATTATTATGTTGATAATATTTTTTTATTATGTTTTCATATTAGAACAACCGAATATGTGTTGAGTATAAACTATATATTTATCAAATGTTTATTACTAGTGAGTTAATTCACCATATTCAATAATATAATCAAATTAATCAGTTAATGGACTGCCCTCTCATCATAAATCAGGGTTGAGAGAGCAGTGAAGGGGTTCTCTGAATTACTGGCCATTCTAAAGTAGGTTAAGTGATGGGATGGTTAGGTCATCGACAATATGAGTAACATAGTGTACTGGTTTTTGCTTCTTAGCACACAAAGGGTTGCATCCTTTGGAGCACGCTTCCCCAGATTCCTAAACAAGCTGAATGTAGGTCACGAAGGAGTACAAATTTGAAGTGAATAATTTAAATAAATACATATAAATAACCTATATTCTATTAAAAATGTATGTTGGGCCTGACCTATTTTAAGAGTTGTATTCTAGTAGTAGTATACACAGCCTGTTTGCAAACTGAATTGGCTTGAGAGAAAGTGTTCACTAATGACCCTTCTTTGCACATCAGCATCTGTGTTGACATCACAGTGAAGGCAGACATGTTTTTTTTTGCCAGCGACCACACATGCAGGCCAGTAACCAGGCACGCCCTCACCCTCGAAATGTTAACCCATGTGGACACAGCCACAGATACTCAGGCCCACCTCCAGAGACTGCTGGCTGGGCACTGATCTGACCTAACTGAGTAATCATTGATCTGGAGGCAGGGGCTTTGTCTAGGGCACTACTCTAATCTCACTGTGTACTCCCAGTGGAAGTCTTGACTACATCATATGCTCAGCAGTGGGAGTCATGAAGGTAATTACTTCCTGTGGCCTAATGTATGGGGACAGCCTGTGAGACATGGGTATTAGTTAGTATTTACATTTATGTTGCAGAGCCTCACAAATATATGTTTCCATGTTATGGTAATCCACTGTACTGGATGTATTGTTAAATTGGACTGAGACAATTAAAGCCGAAAATAGCCATGCAGCCCTATGTGAAATTATATTATTTAGAAAAGTATATTCACCTGATTCATGATTTTGTAATCATTATATTTCCAGTTTTGGCAGGATATTTCTAATTACAATAGAATTATGTCCAGTCAATATGTATGTTTTATTTCTAGTTCACATAATTATAATGTATAGTTTTGTAATATTGTGCACTCCTAAATCGCATGCAAGTAGTAAAATGAAAACACATTATTCTGGTTTTTGTGCTTTATTTGTATCTTTTATCTGATAAAAGTCGCATACTCAGCAAATCTGTGTTGTTGTTTTTTTCATTTGCAGAGTAACACTTAGAAGTCGCAAATTCAAATGTCGTCATCCCAAGCAAGTGTCCTATAGTTATATAACCCAACAACCCAATTTCCCTGTTGTTGACCCATATTGGCCCCCTACAGGTCTTTAGTTCTTAGGCATGACCTTAAGTGACCTGCTGGATTGTGAATGGGAGTACTCTGACTCAATAGAGAGTTCCTGATGGACCTTCTCAAGCTCTCATGGACATAGATAATTCTGAGGGAGGCTATAAATACAGCAATATTATCTTGATATAATTATAGACTTTAAAAAAAAAAGTTCATCAATATTCAAACCCTGTCTGTTTCAGAGCTTTAATTAATTAATGGAAAATATTATGCCAGTACATTTTACACTTAAATAGATATTTAACGGTCAGACAGCATAAGGCCAGTCTGAGTGAGAGGAAATGCTGGCAGTGTGCCCTGGTCCTCTATGCCAGTCCTAACAGTGGGATCCTCACCAAGCCTGTCACTTTAATTTCCAAGCCCAGAATTTCTAAGTTGGTGTTGTGAGATTGAGGGGCCAGTATTTGCATGTGGTCTACTGAAGGACAAAGAAACAGGCGCCAGATTTGCCAAGAAAATGTTTGCTTTGGTTGTGTTCTTTGGTTTTACATGCCAAGTATCTGGTAGAGTTGGCACAAAGATGCAGCTTAAAATTTGGGTCAATATTTTGTACGTTGGCCTAGTTGTTTTGTTGTCCGTATGATGGATGAGTACTGCACTTCATAACCCTAGCCTTGTCTGATTTTAGGTAGCTGAAGAATCCCCCGCATGCATGGCCTTACAAAAGGCCTTACCTCACCTGTTGCCCTGCTTGCCTCTTGGCTGAAGGATTATGGGTAACCTCATCAGTCGGCCCAGCTGCTTGGGTCAGAAGTCCAAGCAAGTGCGGTCCGATGAAAACTTCTTGAAAGAGTGTTACCAACGGCGGAAAGAGTGGCCTTCTGTGGAGCAAAATGGAGACACTAAACAAGAAGAAATCAATAACCAAGTAAAGAATGAAGCAATTAAATGTGGTGAGGTGGACAAGGACAGGGAGGCAGAGGAAATAGAAGAGAAAAGACAGCAAGAATGTCATACCCCAAATTCAGATAAAGTATTGCGTAGTTCCCCGGCCTCTACAATCAGGAGCAGCAGCACATTGGAGAATGCGTGGCACAGCTCACCTTCACCCATAAAAACATCCAGAAACGGGACACTTACAAGGAGATCAGTGCCACCAGAGTATGCTAGGTCCCCACTGGCTCAAATTGACAAGAGTGCAGCTGAGAGGAGGGCAAGCTTTCAAAGAAGAGACTCACGAGAGGGCAGCCCCTGGCCGTGGAAGACTGTGGCTCCTAGAGAAGTAACGGAAGTGACAGAGGTTACAGAGACTATAATAACTGAGATTGTGGAAGTAACTGAGTATCCACCTGGAAGTAAAGGAGGTGACCCCATAGTCACCAGAACTGTTAGGGTCTTAAACGGGGCTGCAAAGGAACTTGCTGAGGTTAAAAAAAATCTATTAATTTAGCTTCACAACTTTTTCTGTCTTGTTTTGAGCTCTTTTCATCCTTCCATACTGCTTTCTTTGCATCATTACTGCTAACAGTCTCTTCTGTTACTAAAAATTAACCACCTATTTTTACAGCTTCAGAGCGATGGACAGTCAAGTTCAGACCAAGATTCAATTGTGGATAAATGGAAAGTATGCACAATTTATTAGTTGCATAATCTAAGTAAGCTCACTGTCGTGTTCATATTGTTATATGTTATATTCTAAAGGGAACAAGACCGGCCGTGGCTCTGAGGGATGCAGCTACAGATTCTAATACATTTCTCCAAAATCTGGAAACATTGTTTAAATGGGTGTGTGAGATAGAGGAGCTCACAGCAAATCAAAAGCCTCCATCTTCAGAGGTCAAAGTGGTGAAGGCACAGCTCCAGGAACAAAAGGTGTGTTATCAGCAATCACACACTCTATTTCTCCCAAAAATACACCCTAAAATGCAAAGAGATATACACAAGAGAGCAAAACCTTTAAGATGGGCTGTTTCATGGAACCTGCTCAATTGCTTCTTTCATCAGCAAACTCCATATTCACCGGTAAAAGGGTGGTGTCCCTGCTCACAATGAGCCTCTTTGTCACTATTCCCAGAGGGTTGGAGCAAACAGGGGTGTCTTTCACCTGTGTCTCTATTGTTTGTTGGATGAGATGAAACCTGCTTCGGTTTTGACAATGCAAGACTGACACTTGAGAATGGACTTCCTTTATGTATACAAAGGCCAAGACAAAATAATTATAACTATATTACTACAATGAATCACAATGAAATGCTGCTAGAAAATGTATGTGTTTTTATCATACATTTTAAGTGGTGTTTTTCCCCAGCTCTTGCAGCGACTTTTATCAGACCGCCGTCGTAGTATGGACACTATGATGCTGGAGGGTCCCCGGCTGGTGGAGGCTCACCCAGGAGAAGAGGGTGAGGATGCGTACACTAGGCTCTGTTCACTTGAGGAAAAATGGAAGTCATTACTACAAGAGGCTGAACAAAGGTAAGCTCAGCTATGGCACCCCTGGGCACATAAAATGATCCTGATTTTTGAAGATGATAACATTTTGTCTCTGATAGGAGGGCAAATCTGGAGCTCATTCTTCCAAAGGCACAGTTGTTCCAGGAGGGAGTAGACAGTCTGCAACAGTGGTTCATTTCTGTGGAGCAGGCTCTGGCTGAACTGCGTAATGCTGAAAGAGTGATGTTGCATCTTGCAGATGCTACAAAACGTGCCAAGGTTACAAAAATATATTATGGTTTCAAGCTACAACTACAAATATGTGGTTAAATGCATATTCTCTGTTACAACTAGGCTCTTGTTGAGGAGATTCAAGTGAAAACGTCTGGGCTTGGAGAAATACAAGAGTTAGGACAGAGTTTGATAGAAGCAGTTTCAGGTGAGATGCTCATTTATTGTTCAACTACAAGTCAATAAAACGACTGGCCTACCGTCCTTATAGGCAACCTGCTGACATTTGAATGGTGTTCACAGAGGATGAAGCAGCGCAGGTGCAGGAGAAGTTGGATGCCCTCCGGATCCGTTGCTCCGTGCTAAGTTTAAGCAGTCTGGATGTGCTGCAGAGGCTGGAGCAGGCGCTGGAAGCCTCCAGCCGCTGCACCTCCAGCCAGGAGGACCTGCACCTGTGGCTTGGCCGCATAGAGAGAGAGCTGCTGGGCGCCGCGGGAGCGCAGGCACACGCTGGAGATGCGCTCCTGTGTGCTGCTGAAAGACAAAGGGTGAGACTAGATTACACATTAAAGTATTACGATACAGGACATTCTTCTAAGTATTTAGCACACACGTTAGCCCTTATAAATAAGGGCCTTATTTATTGTCTTCGGTGTTCATCATCACATTATGTTCATGCATGCAAAAGGCAACTTTAAAGAAATAAGCATTCTGAACACTTGTTTGGACTTTTTCTTTTAATATATCTGTATGGGTTTCTCTTTGGCTACGCACTTGTCTTGAAGCAGAGGCCAGAATGCAAACATCCGTACAATGCTAAATGCTAACATGTGCTACTGTGTTTATATTAGCTTCAGCAGGCAGTAGTGAAGGAGGTGGCATGGTTCAAAGAAACCTCTTTGAGTCTGGAGAACCTGAAAAACATTGACTTAATCCCAACAACAATATCAGAGCAACTCCATGAACAAAAGGTCTGACTGACTTAGTAATCATTTTGTAATTTGTAATAACTGACAATAAGTAACGCATTGCATGTTTAATTAATAGGTTTTAGCAGTGGAGATTCTACAACATAGGTTTAACATTGAAAAAATGGTGAAGATTGCAGAAATCCTGATGACATACAGTGATGGAGATACTACAGACCTTGTGGTAAGCATATATATTTAATTATTATTTTATGATTAATAATACAATTTACAACATTTATTTTTTTTGGCACAGACACCACTGGAGGCCTTACAGGAGCAGTGTAACAGCACTTCTGCCACTAATTCCCATGTGGTCCTGCAGCTCGAACATGCTCACTCACTACTTCTCCAGTTCTCAGAAGGCATTTCTGAGGTTTCACCCTGGTTAGAGGAAACTGAGACTCTTTCTGGCCAGCTCTCACTCAGTACCATTAGCTACAAGGCATTTCGGGAACAACAGGACCTTTTACAGGTAAAGTAGAAGGACCAGTTTTAATCCCCTTTTGTCCAGCCCAACAAAGTAGCCCATTTATACAATACAATCTACCAGCAAATTAGCTCCTACTTCCTGACACCAAAACTACCGTAGTCATGTGACGAGGCATTTAATTTGTTAGTACATTTGCTTATCTAAGAACCTTTATCCATTTTGAATATTTTTTTCTAAACAGGATCTGAGGGAGTCTATTGCAGAACACAAGCCTTTAATTTCCCGCCTTTGTGCTTTGGCAAAACGGTTGTCAGAACTCAATCCTTGCCAAGGCAATGAGTACTGTCAGAAGGCCACAGAGGCTGAGAATCGGCACAGAGCCATAAGAAATAAAGTACGGGAGACGTCTAATCTACTGGAGGAGTCATTGCCTCGATTCACACAAGTAAGAATGCAGAATCAATGACTTGATAATGACTGATCCTTTTAAGTATACTATTGTTGAAAACACACATTAACCACTGGCATTGATTTTGCCTGTGCAGTTGAATGAGAGAATGACCTTGATCAGAGAGAGTCTTGATCGACTGAAAAACCGCATTCAGATCCCCACTTCACTTCAGGCTCTCACCCCGAGGATCCAGGAGCAGCTTCAGGACAATAAGCACACTCTTGCTGAGCTGGCAAAACTGGAGCTCAGCCTTAGCACTGTCAGGAATCAGGCTAGTGAGCTTTTGGGCAGTACACAGGCTGCTGGTGATGAATCCATTGGAACAGGTAGACAACATTTTGCATGTATTAGATTTTGTTAACTAATCCCATGTGGTCAATAATTTTCCTGTTGAACTTTCTAGCCATACAGAATCAGGTCTCTGGCTTGTCTCATTTATGGGATGAAACGAATGCTCAGGCCAAGGAAAAGGAAACATGGCTGCTCAAAGTGTTAGATCTCGCTGTGAAGTTTTGGAGAGACATCACTGATGTCACAGCAGCTCTAAGTGAAGCTCATCAGGCTGTTATGGATCTAAACGCAAGTCAAACTGACTCTGAAACTATTCGCCAAAGCCTCGAGACCATGCAGGTTTGTCTAAATGCAATTACAAGATAAGACATGAAGATGCATTTCTTTTATCCTTAAATTTGCTTATATTTTGTAACTGTTTCATGGCTAGACTCTAAGGGAGGACATTGATGGTATACAGGGAGATCTAGACACCCTTGGTGCTGTGGGGGTGGATTTAATGTCCGCTTGTGGGGACACAGACAGACCAGATGTCACCAGGAGCCTTGATGAAGCAAGTCACACATTTAAGTGTAAACTGCTATCACGTTAACATTTTATCAACAACTGCACTTTTGATATTTCACAGCTGTATAGTAACTGGAACAACCTGAGTAAACTCTGGACTGAATGTCATAAAAAGTTGGAAGAGTCATTACAATTATCTCTCCAATATCAAGACACCATGCAGGTCTGTATTATATGTGGTAAACACATACACTTTGGGAAACTATTTTGTTTTGATGTCACTTGAAAATCATAGATTAGTCATGAAATTCCTTTTGTAATAGGGTCTTTTTGAGTGGCTGAAGTCAGCTGAGTTGAGGTCCACTGAAGAATTTATTGTTGGAAATGACCTTGAATCAGTCAAATACCAATTATGTGATTTGAAGGTTAGAAATATGTTGTTATTTACCACAGAGATATAAGAATTCATCTGAATTAAATGCATTGTCCTTTCAGGCATTTAAACGTGAGCTTTACCAGAAGAAGATTGAGATAGAAAGCCTGAATCATCGGTTTGTGTGTCGACTGTCTCCAGGATCTGAGCGCCAAGGCTCAGTGTCTCCACTGTGTGATTTCAGACAAAGATGGGACATCCTCGAGTCTGAAACCGTCAGCAGACAGGTCATAAATACAACTCAGGTGGAATGTAATTATTTTTGTCAAAATACTGGAGACAAATTATATATAACATTTCACAGCATCTGTTAGAGTCTGCTCTGTTGGGTCTGGGCCAGTTCCAAAACACTCTGGATGAGCTGCGCACTTGGTTGTCCCGAACAGCTGAACAGTTACATGGTGGTCGGCCCATTACCATTGACCTTCAGGCCTGTGAGATAGAGCTGGCCAAACATAAGGTTGGGAATAAAAACAACAAGTAAATTGTTCAGTTATTTATAAATTATTATTTTTGTACCTTACTTAATTACCTAACTCTCCTCTACTAAAGGTTTTGCGCAATGATGTAATGTCCCATGTCCGCACTGTGGAGTCCCTGAATCTGGCTGGCAGGTCACTGTCAGAGACAGGCTCTGGGGCACATGGTCTACAGTCTCAACTGGAACAACTCAATGAGAGCTGGGAGTTTGTGCGCTGTGAGACAGAACGCCGGCAGCTGGAGCTAGAGAACAGACTAAGTCAGGTGGTACAAATATGTTTGTACATATTATGTCTAAAAAATGAGAAATGGACTAGTTAAGCTTGTGTAATATTTATAGGATCACACAGTAAAGCTATCCTCCTGTCCTATATTATTATCAGTTGGTTGGCCCCCTCTAGTGGTCACTTACTTTATAGCCTTGTAATATCGCCAGTATGTTCATCTTATCTCAGGTACAAGATGTTACAATGGAGATTCAAGATCTTTTGCAATGGCTGGAAAACACAGATGTCAAACTTTCTTCTTCCAAAGCAATGTGGGGAATGCCAGACTCAGCAGCAGAAAGACTCAGTGCACATTTGGTACAATATGCATACAAATATTTTATAATTTATTACAGTAACATTTAATCAGTGTACTTTTGACATTACATTCTTACAGGAGTTATGCACAGAGATGGACTCAAAGCTACACACCTACACTGATGTGAAGAATGCCATTCACAGGATGCTGGAGAGCAGTGATGTCATTCGGGGATCAAGTATAGAGCACATCTTGTCTATACTTGAACAGAAATGGACATTGGTTTACCACAAGGTTCAGGAGAAAAAGGTAACACATCCATAAGTATAAAACTGAACTGAACTTTAAGAAATTGATACAAATGTGATGTTGTTCCTTCAGGATAGTCTGACTGAAGGTTTGAGTTTGGCAAAGGATTTCCACAGTAATGTTCAAGAGCTCCTTAACAAGATGACCAAGTGTGAGGACAGTTTTGGGCATCTCTCACCTCCCAGCTTTGTGCTGGACTCAGTTGGCAGTCAACTGGAGAAACACAAAGTGTGTTTTTAAGAGTTTTCTTTTAAAAATAATTCTATATTGTATTTGTATATATTATGTATTTTTTATGTATGCAGGACTTGGTAAAAGAGGTAAATGGTTACTGTGAAAAGAAAAATACTGTGGAGAAGATAGGCAGCAGACTGACTGAAATGAGCAGAAAGGAGGACTGTGATGTCATTCACAACCTGATCATGACTGTCCACGATCGCTATAAAAAATTACATCAACGTTTGGTAGAAAGAAGTAGGATACTTGAAGAGGCCAAGAAGAGTGCAAAGCAGGTAGAGTTTTTTTTTCATAGAAGCTTTGATCATTGATTATTGTAAGATACAATTAATGCATCTCTTTTTCAGTTTATTGAATCTTGGCGGTTGCTAATAGAGTGGATGTCTGACGTAGAGCAAACTTTAGACACACATAAAGAGATTGCTGGGACTCATGATGATATCAAACAACAGCTGACTGAACAGAAGGTGGAGTAATAAAACTGTGTTTATAAAAAAAAATCTTAAGCAAATATTTTAATTATCTACCCATTATTTAATACAACATATCTTAAGTAAGTAAATATATATATATTTTTTTATAATAGGAATTTCAGAAACTACTAAGAGCAAAAAGACCAATGTATGAAGCCACATTAAAAAATGGTCGCAGTCTTCATGAAAGAGCTCAGAGCAAACATGACAGACAACATCTAGAGAACCTACTTGCTGAACTCAAAGACACATGGGACACAGTCAATGGCAAATCTCTGGAGAGGTAATGAGATGCAGGGTCTGTTTGACTCACTTTTAAAGACTTAACGAAATTAGATGATTCTCACAACAATTGTATTTATCTTGTGTGTTTCAGGCAGCACAAACTGGAGGAAGCGCTTCTGTTTTCAGGACGGTTCACCGATGCTCTCCATGCCCTAAATGACTGGCTGTACAGAACAGAGCCACAGTTATCTGAAGATGCTCCAGTCGGTGGTGATAAGGAGATGGTCAATAACTTGATAGATAAACACAAGGTGCACTTGACTTGTGTGTGTTCCTGCAATTCATACAAATAACATAATTTACTATAGTTTATTATGCAATATGTAAATTTTTTAACAGGCTTTCCAAAAGGAATTAGGGAAGCGAGCCGGTTGCATAAAGACCCTAAAGCGCTCAGTACGGGACTTGACCAGGAGCAGTACAGCTGATGCACACTGGCTTCAGGAGCAAATGGATGAACTGGAGAGCCGCTGGGACGCTGTGTGCAAACTGTCAGTCAGCAAACAGGACAGACTGGAGGTAGCACTTAAACAGGTCTGTGTACCCATGAGTGATTAAACACTTAGTGATACCTGGTGACAATTTTGTATTGAATAACTTTACTCTGCTTATAATATTCTTTTCAAATGTTTTCTTTTTCTAGGCTGGAAAGTTTGATAACCTTGTCCACTCTTTCATGGAGCACCTTACAGAGGCAGAGAGAGCTCTCAAATATGGCTCTCTGCCTGAAGAGGAGGAAGCTTTGCACTCCTTCTATGAGCAGCACAAGGTCGGTTTAATGTTATTGTTTTGTGTCTGGTTATTTATTAAACTTCCATGTCCCTAGCACACTGATTCTGTATGCACTCATACTGTTTTACTAGAAGAATACATACTTTGATTCCATAATATCTTCATAAAACCTCTCTTTGACATTAATTAGGAGTCATTGAGTGCCTTCGAGAATCAAGCAGTGCAGCTACAAAACATACGGAGTTTGGGTGAAGAAATACTGGCATCTTGTCATCCAGACTCCATAATCACATTAAAATCATGGATCAGTGTCACCGACACCAGATATGTGGAGGTAGTGTAGATTCTTTTGATTTATTCATCGAAATGGAGATTTTATTTTGCTGATATAAACAAAGCCCCCCCCATCTTAGGTTCACACTTGGGCTCTGCAGCAGGGTCAGAAAATCCACACGATTTTGTTAGCCCTGGAAGCTGAGAGGCAGGAAATTCAGAGACTTTTAGACTGGATCTCGTCTGCAGAAGAAGCTTTGAACCTCCGAGAGCAAGAGCCACTGGCTGAAACCACAGAGCAGAACCAAGAACTCATTGACCAGCACTCCGTAAGACATTTTACTGTTCAAATGAAACGTTATAGTAAACCATTTAAATAGTAAACCACTTAATACAATCATGTTACTTTTTATAGGTATTTATGGAAGAACTGAATAAAAAGTTCCCTGAGGTTGAACAGGCCACTAAGTGCTGCAAACTCAAGACCATCTCTAAACAAATATCAGTTTCGCCAAGCAAACGGCCTCTCACAAGTAGGTTACAGCCTTTACTCAGTGATAGGACAAGCAGGTTGTGTGTGTGTGTGTGTCAAATGTTTTGCTTCTCACAGAAAGAAGGAGCACATTAAAGCCCCAGCCTGCTACACCTGTCCCCTTAGAGCACCTTGACCCACAGACCCCACAGCTCTGTCAGCTGGTCAGCCAATGGCAAAAACTATGGTTGCTGTCTATGGCCAGACAAAACCGTCTAGAACAACACCAGCAAATGCTCAAAGAGGTAATGGGCCTCTTACAATCTCCACACATTTAAAGTGATTCAAATGTATATGCTTCTCTTTTATTTTGTATTTGCACAGATGGAGGAGTTTGCAAACTTTGATTTTAATATATGGAGAAAGCGCTATATTCAGTGGATAAGTCATCTGAAGTCTCGGATCCTTGATGTATTTCGTAGCATTGATAGAGATCAGGATGGCCGCATTACAAGGAAGGAGTTTGTTGATTATGTTCTTACATCCAGTAAGATATATCTCCAAACATTTAGTCCTCTGAAATAACTTCATGAGGCTAACTTGCTTGAACTTCTTTTCTAGAATTCCCTACAAATCCCTTAGAAATGAATGCAGTAGCAAATATATTTGACATGAACAGTGATGGCTTCATTGACTATTATGAGTTTGTGAGTGCACTTCATCCCAGTCGAGACCCCTACAGAAAAACACTGGACGCAGATCAAATAAATGAAGAGGTAACAACAGTTTCTTCAACACAAACCTGACTGTTTATTAAGTATTATTAATATTATTTTAAATGTAAATATGTACCTTAACATATTATATAATCTTTTATAAGGTCAGTCGGCAGGTGTCTCAGTGTAATTGCCCTAAGAGATTCCATGTGGAACAGATTAGTGCCAACAGATACAGGGTGAGTTTAAAATGTACAGTTTTAACATATTTAAAAAAATATATATTCTGGTAACACAAAATGGCATTTGTGCTGTAGTTCGGAGATTCACAACAGTTACGCATGGTCCGAATTTTGAGAAGCACTTTGATGGTGAGAGTGGGAGGAGGCTGGACCGCGTTAGATGAGTTTTTGGTGAAGAATGATCCTTGCAGAGGTAGATGCACCTCTTCCATCCTCTTGTCATGTAATTACAGTCCTGTTTACATAAAGTGTCTATTATTTTTCTCAGTGAAGGGCCGGACTAACCTGAAGATCAAAGAGAAATACTTGTCTCCAACAGGAAGCATGTCCAAAGGTTTGGCTGTCAGCAGGTCCAACTCAAGCCTCAGTCTGTATAGCAGTGCCTCTGCCCCCACCAGCCCAACATCACGCAAGGTGAGACTTGCAAATGTGCAACATGGATGTTTTCAATAAATACACAAGTATTTATATCTTTACATTTTGTGGGTTTACATTTTTAGAAGGCATTTCTCAGGCGAAGTTTCTCAGGAGACCGCTGTATCCGCCCTCGAAGTTCCATTGCTGCTCTAGATTCTGATCTGCAGTTTGTCCCATCAGAAGACACATGTCTCTCACCATCAGGTCTGAATGTTAGAATTTTATGATAAATTTGCAGGAGTTGCTAAACTAAAGTGTTTTTAAATGTTTAGAAGAAGATGAAAAAATGCCGACTGGATTACCGCCACACATTTGATGCTGCAGTTGTGAACTCGAGTCATTATGGGCCATGAAGATAGTAATAAAGGAGATGTAAGGTATTTGAAATCCTACAAGCTGCTCATCAGCTGCCTATTGTTCCTGAGGTCAAAGGTCAGAGTTCATGCCAAAGGGGATTTAGTAATGGAGCACTGACATTGTTCCCAGTGTTAGATTTGATCAGTTAAAAGCAAAAAACAAAAAACTTGAAAGACATTTTGTTCCTTGATGCAGTAGTTTTCACATGGATAATGAAGTTGGAATTCAGAAAGACTGCATGCTACATTGTGCATGGCACTAAATCCTTCTGGAGTGCTTCTATTCAAACATATCACTAATGCCATATTTTTGGCAATGTTAGATTAATTATGAGAAAAGTTGGACAGTAATTGTCTTGTGATGACTGATTCTTGAGGGCCTACCAGTTTCCAAAAAAGAAGTGTACCAAATCTGTTTTGTGAATTTCAAGCAACATAATGTTGGCAGGGCCACACGCGTTTGTCTAATACATTTTGTGATACCATGTTATGAATTGCTCATTACATATATACTTTTATATTGATTAAAACACTGGAGATTGTTTTATGGACAATGCACTTAAAGATGTGGCATTGCTAAATTGTAGAGATTCTTTTCTCAGGATTGATTTTGCAGTTGGTTGTAAGCATTTCTATGGAACATTACTGTGAATTCAATAGTATGAACTCATGTGTACACTATTTCAGCTTTATGTTTATAAAAATGCACTTTTATGTTCACTACTGGAGTAGTGAGTTCTGAGTCAGAAGACATGAAGAATTACATATTTTAAAGGTTCTAGATCAGGTTACTAGGTCCGGCTCTTCCAGTGTAAAGCCCTTCCATAATATGCATGGTTTCAACTTTATAATGTATACCATAAAGAAACAATTGCTGTTAATTCTAAGCCAGTGCAGGCTTTTTTGTACTTATTGTCAACTGGTAAAACCATATTAACTTTAAATGTTGTGTATGGGTGTCATTTTGTACCAGAGTTACATAATTTGGGATAATAAAATGTGCTTATATTTTAAAAGCATTTGCTCTATGCAGTGGTGCTGTTTTTAAAAGTTTTACATTACACATTTGTAAATGTCAACAATTAATTTAAATTATAAAATGCTTCATTCAGATTCTACTATTGCTATGCACTCTAAACTTTGTGTACTGTAACTATTTCTATCCCCAGCCTTCTTCGTAATATCTATGTAGGGAGATTGTACTTGAATGTCACTAATATGTATATATACACCTCAATTAAACGTTTTTAAGTACATTTTGTTATACTGTATGCTGTTTTTCCCCTGCCGCTGATGTAACATATTTACATAACATGACCACTGCAGCCCCCATGTATTGTTTAGGTGTAGCCTAACAAAACATACAACTGCTGATTCCAATGTTATACTCAAACATTAAGCAGTGACTGGTCTAACCACATAACTTTTCTTAAATTTTATTTTGGGTGTTTTTATTGCACTGAAAAACAGCATTCACTGTGCTTCCACCTATATTCCCACAGCATGGCATATACAACCCATCTATCTCCTCAGAGAATCTTGACGTGAATTTAAAGCCTTAATTTCGATAGAATGATGCAGGTGATGTGATTAGGGTGACCAGACATCCCTGTTTACGTGGGACAATCCCAGTTTTGAGCCCTGTGACCCCTGTCCAAGCAGATTTATCCAAAGCCAATGATTTGTCCCAGTTTTATACAAGAACTGTCCCAGGTGTACCTATTTTTGATCAACTGGATACTTGCCAACAGTAAAGAGAGGCATACATTGTCATTTGTTCCGGTAAAATACAGAAAAGCTGCTTAAAAATGACCAAAACGCAAAGAAAATGTGAATATACTGACTCGTGTTCATCACGAATGGGCACGAAAGTGCATAAAAGTTTTTCTTAATTACACACTCGTTTCACAATATTATTACTAGCCATCACAAACTCGGGACGTCCCAGTTTTTGATTTTGAAAATCTAGATGCAATACTTCCCGAAATTTAGACAGTGCAGCTTTAAAATAGCATGAAACTTTCTTTTCCAAGCATCTGTGTTTGGCTGTTCAACACGGTTAAAATGGATGCTGGAGATTTGAACTGGAATCTGAGCTGAACAAAGTCCAGGGTGACCTTCACTGACATCCACTGAGCACAGAAACACAACCTGTCATCTTCAATGCTTCTCGTTGGCTGCTTTCCAACTCATATTTTAATAAAGTTTCCACACCGTCTTGAAGTTGGTTTTACGTTGATATTTGCCTCTGCAACAACAGGGTAAGTTTCACTGATTTTCAATGCATAAAAGTTCCCTAACCAGCATACTTAGCGGGAGCTCTCTGCTCTGTGCTAGAGCAAGCAGTGGAAATTTCCCCTGTTGTCGCGGAGGCAAATATCCAACGTCTAATGTTGGATATTGAAAATCTGTGATTTTCAAGTGGGAAAAAAAATCCTAAAAAACACAAAGGGTTAATTCCGAAAACTAAAAGGTATGCGTGATACTCGAGGACTAGGACTACTATAATAACTTGGTTTGGGGTTGCTAGGTCACCTGCCTTAGAACCTATTGAAAAAAAATCACTGATTTTCAAAGGAAACAAATGCATAAAAGCCCCACATGGGGTTACTTCAGAAAACCAAAAGGTGTGTGTGAAACCTGAGGACAAGGACCACTATAGTAACTTGGAGTTTCTAGGACCCTGCCTTTTATGATCTGCTCAGACCAAAACATCAAGGCGTCCAGTTTACATGTGGATGCGCGTCGTCGTCCTGTGTTTTTGCAGCGCGTCTTCTGGCGTCAACGCTCAGGACAGCCGTCCAGGGCCTCGGCGTCAGAAGTTGAAAATGCTGAACTTTTGGCGTCGGACACGCCACGTCAACTAATAAGGGACTACTATCCCATGATGGTGCGACATTATTATCCAGAAGAAAGAGAAAGACCGGGGGCAGGGAGCCACAAACACCAGAACAAGAAACTACGCTGTGTCATTAGCGGAGAATAAACATATACACGCCAACCACCGCCGATCGCCTCCGGTGATGTGTTTTATGTAATAAATACACTAAAGTCACTCTCGGAAAACAAGGCACTCGCAGCGGCTGCCCTGGATGCACATCCACTATTTTTCTCCCGTTTGTCCACGGAGTCCAAGACAAGGCGTCCAGGGCGTTTTTTCACGCCGCGGTTTGAACGCAGCATTAGAAGGTACTGAAAAAAAATCACAGATTTTCAAAGGGAAAAAAATCCTGAAAATACCAGAAATTGTGTAATTTGAAAATCTAAAAAGTGAATGTGATACCTGAGGGCTAGGACTACTATAATAATTTAGTTTGGATTTTTTAGGTTACTTAATCTGGAAGATATTGAAAAAAAAAAAAAGCATTCATTAATTTATCCTCAATATACATAAAATATCAAATGTCTTATAAAACATACATGGACAATCCCCTTTTTTATTTTTATATGTATTTTATATGTTTTTTGTTTGTTTTTGTTTTGTTTTGATTGCGTTTGATAATTTCAGTTGATTATTTTTTAAGAAAACTCCATTCTCTACAAGCGTAGTTTATTGACGGTCTCTAACCAGCGTATAGTGGGACTACAGAATACAGCTCCCCGCACCGTGCTGGAAAGTGAAACCAACCTCACCGCGGTAGTTTAATCATGGTCATGTTATCTTTTTATATCATTTCTCACTGTGTTCTTTCCAAAGCACCTCTGTCCTTGTTGGCTATCCCCGCCTACTTCTACTGCTGTGGATTTTGGTTCCCAGGCTGGACCCCGGGCTCAGCCTCCAGTGGTCACATGTCAACTATCAACACATTGTGTGCAGTGAAGTACAAAGGAGTGCAAGAATGTCCCACAGGGTGCAGTTTAGAGCTGTGAGACAGTTGTGTGTAGGCAAGGTTTAATTTCAAGGTAGGCCTATCTTTTTTTCTGATTTCTTAATTGTTTGTGCTTTTGTGTTTTTTGATCATTTTCTAAGAGGATGAAGATTTTTGTATGGGGAATTATGAGGGGAATTTAGGTTTTTAATATTAGATAGCTATGTAAACACAAGCCTTTACAAATGTTTAGTTTAAACCAATTAACAAATGCTACTGTGGGAAATAACATATGAAGCGCATTGCTCTGTGATTAATTGAAATGTACTGGGAAAAAAAATAAAATAAACATCCCACGTAGACTAATATATAGGCTTTGCATTCTAGCACTGAAAAATGATTATTCATAATTTGATTCCAAATTAAGTTTGTGACAGTCTCGATGTTATCAAGTTACTATGTATCAAAAAGGTTGAGTGCTGATCTGCTTTATACAGTCTATGGCGCTGATGCGTTCCGCATCTTTAAAACAAGCAGCATAGTGCTGCTCACAGACTATGGTGCTGCTGAAGGGATGAAAGAAATGCACCGCCCATTGTAAATGTTTCCACCAATCACTGAGCAAAGAGAGCACGTGGTTCTATGGGTTTGAAACCGGCAAAGCAGCTGCGCATGCGCCATTCAGCACACGGAACTGGAACGAAAGTGCGTGGGTCACGTAAGAGTATGTTGGACAGGAGAGTTTTTGAGAGCATGGATGAGTAAACACACACTTGTGCTTGTGGTTATTCGGACACTTTCATCTCTATGGAGTGTGTAATATTAAGGCGAAATCGCTGAGTCTGATTTTGGACTGATTAGGTAAGAGATTATGACGCTTTAAAAACAAATTACAGGTTTTAGGATGGGGTTAGCCTTTAGGTCACTTGACCTCTAAATTACAATGAAAAAGACCTTATAGTTAGAATATTATCATTAGACAATATTCTCTTTACATCTCAATAACTACTTCTTTGTTAGTATGGGTTGTTTCACTAATTGTTTACACTGGTCACCAGGAGCCATAGAAATCAATACAGCTTTTTCTACCCTTAGTTACGAAGTAAGTAAGTTAGTAACATTTTAATAATTTTTGCCATACCTGCTTTATGCAATCATTATTTAATGTTAATATTCATAATGCCCACTTTGTAGTCATAGACTGCAGCATTTACAGAGTCTTGATATTGGAGCTTTAAGCTATGTCTGTGCTACTACAAGATACTTTTCCTGGAGCAGTGTGTCAGTGTGTGAAAGGTCATATGTTTCTGGCTCCCTTACCTCAAGTCATGGCCTATATTGAAATTTGTACTCCCTCTAATAATACTAATACTAATACTAATACAAATACATTTGCATTTCTTTTGTAGACTCTTCTTGTCAGCGTTTTCTCCCCAACTTCATTCCCTGCCACTATGCAGCTGACTCATGTGCTCGCCTGCCTCTTCGGGATGGGCTCGTGGGTAGCCATCAATGGGATGTGGGTGGAGCTTCCTCTAGTCGTCCCAGAGATCCCAGAGGGCTGGTACCTGCCGTCCTACCTCACTGTTCTCATCCAGATGGCGAACATTGGTCCTCTATTCATCACCCTCATGCACCGTTTCCGCCCTGGGACCCTAGATGAACGGCCCGTTGTCTACTCAATTGTTGTGTTGGGTGTTATTGCTACATTCCTGCTTGCTTTCTTTTGGAAGCACACAGTGACAATTGGTGGATCCCAGCACAGTGTTCCTCTTCTGGTGTTGAGCTTTCTTCTCTCTGTAGTGGACTGCACCTCCTCTGTCACCTTTCTGCCCTTCATGATGCACCTGCACCCACAATACCTCACTACATACTTTGCAGGTGAAGGCCTCAGTGGTCTTGTCCCTGCTTTGGTGGCTCTGATCCAAGGTGTTGGCGTGGTTCACTGTGAGAATGTCACCCTCTCCGCTAACACAACAGCCATTAATTCAACTACAGCAGGGAGTGGAGAGCTGAGAGCCGTCTACAAACCAGCGAAATTCTCTGCCCAAATGTTCTTCATTTTCCTCAGTGCTATGATGGTTGTGTGTCTTGTAGCTTTCATACTGCTCAACTGTCACCCAGCTGTATCTTCAGAAAGAAAAAATAATATTTATTATGTTAGTGATCTCGCTCAGGAAAAGAAGGAACAAGGGTTGTCACTGCACTCTCAATCTCCAGAACAAAAACCAATGATTAGTCTCGAGGAGACAGCCAGGTGGGAACCCCGCAGCTCTTTTGGCAGGGGCACCTATAATAACTTTGAGGTGGTGTATATCTTTGTTGTACTTGCCTGGGTCAATGCTTTGACCAATGCAGTGCTGCCCTCAGTCCAGACCTACTCGTGTCTGCCTTATGGGAACCAGGCATACCATCTGGCCACCACTATGGCAGCTGTTGCTAATCCTGTGGCCTGCTTCATCGCCATGTTTGTACCACAGAGGTGAGTGTAAAAGTCTTTGTACAATGTTAATCTTGTGATTGATAAGTGATTTTATATCCAGGACCTCTTGTTTGCTGACACCTTAATAACAGCAATGGATAGCATCACATGAAATTGCTCGTTTTATTTTTCAGGTCTCTCATTTTGATGGGTGTCTTGACTTTATATGGGACTGGATTTGGTGCATACATCATGGCAATGGCAGCATTGAGTCCGTGTCCATTGCTGGTTCATAGTACAACTGGCATTGTAATCATAGTAAGACTTTTTTCCTTTTTATCTATGAATGTGTTCTACTTTTTGTTAGTTTGGTTATACTGAGAAATTATTTGAACTGCCTTTGTCTGTTCTGTAGGTGTTCGCATGGATCCTGTTTGTCTTGACTTTATCATATGTAAAAGTCATTGTTGGAGTAATCCTCAGAGATGAAGGACATAGTGCCCTCGTCTGGTGTGGAGCAGTAGTGCAACTGGGGTCAATGGTCGGAGCTGTGTCCATGTTTCCATTGGTTAGTGTTTATGGACTGTTTAAATCAGGTGATGTTTGTAACACAAAGTGCCCAAGATAAAATCATTCACATGTAATTTTTTTTTTTTTTTGACAATTGTTACCCCTTCTATGGAGTTAGTCTGGCACTTAAGATAGTTGTGGACATTTTGTTTCTAAAAATGTTTTGATGTCATGTGTTAGGTCAAAAGCATACTTGAACATTAGTAGAAAGTTACATCAATCAGCCTTATTAGTCCTGTGTACTGTACACTGGCTTTTGAATGTGAATAATAATGTGATTTACTGTATGTGCTTTATAAATGTTATCAGAACATAATCTTGTTTTAACTCTATCCCCCCTGGACGCCTACTAGGAACAACCCATACATATGTTACTAGGGCTACCCATAGAGCATAATTGCATAAAAGAAAACAGACTTCCACGAGTGATTATAAATTAATTTTACACTCATGAACTTAATTGTAACACAGACATATTTGGTATCTCTGGAAACCTTAGACTCTGAACTATTCATTTATGGATGTTTAAATGTGATTCAACTCATTTATAGGTGTATAACAGCTCACTGAAAATGAGAGTTTACCTGGTCAGGTGCAAAATCGAAAACAAAAAACTACATTCAGCATTTGATATATTCATGTTCTGAGTACTATATTCATAAAAAAATAATAAATATATACTTTGTCAAGGTATTTAAACAGATTTCATATCACCAGATACAGTATAGCCAAGTGTACACCTGTTTTTACCTGTTGTACACCTGTGTGCACCTAATTCATTTTTTTCCATTTAGCTTATTCAACTTATTTAATTTATTCAACTCATTTAGCTTATTCAACTAATTCATTTTATTATAATATAATAATAAAACTCTTCCTCGTCAGTGGGTGTCCAGTATTTGTCATCTTGGCTATTTTCTCGTGCGCAGAGCTCTGCATACGTGTTTTTTCTGTAGCGATTCTGTTATACATCGCATCTTGGAAAAAAAGACTGAAATATTTTAAAGGACTAGCCTGGGCAACATCCAGATTTCACGGCAATTTTGGTTCATAATCGAGTATAAAGCTCAGATGGTTTGTTCGGATATCGCAGGAGACGCATCAGCGGCATTCTCATTTTCGTAAGATTCACTCTCTGTAAGTCCGTCGCTATCGCTGTACTTTATAATCAACTTCATCATCACTTTGAAATCAATAAAAGTTACTTTCTCTAAACTTATCCATAAAATACGTCTGTTCCTCATTATTTCTAAAACTGTGCGCCGCAGCGCCGCGATCTTTCCATCGCACGTGTTTCGTGTTGTGTTTTTTTCCGGAAGCTACCATCGTCACTACTTCGATTAACTTCGGAAAAAATCGGCGAAAACATATCCTCGAATCCTATTGGTCAGTCTAGTGTGGGTTGTAGTGGCCCCCACCTATCACAGTCTCTGTTTAAATGTGAAAAACCAAGCCATTTCTAAAGGTCGTCAAATCTCGTCTTTAGTGATACGGCGGAGGTGTCAAAAGTCGTCATTAAGGGTACGGGGGTCGTCAAATGTCGTCTTCATGGGGGAAAGAGTTAAGTTTATCATTCATGCATCTTAAAAAACTAATTACAAGTATCACTATCTTTATCACTATCAGTAGTAAACATAAAAACATTAAATAAAAAAATAATAATATAATAAGTAAGCACCCATAACATACGATAATACTATTTTGGGTACCTACGTTACTAATAACTTCAAGGTATATTTTTACTTGTTGAAAGATTAAAATTAAATTGAAATTAAATGAATAACTAAGGCACAGCAGGAAAAGCTGCAATAAAATCCGCAAATTTCTAATCATCCACTAGATGGTGTTCTTGTAGTATGTTTGAGCATAAGCATCGCTATCACTTGGGTTGTTGAGTGGCTTTTTTGCGTTAATGTATATTAGTTGTGAGGCCTTGAAGTCCATAATATAAGTAATGATGTTAAAATAATTCTCATTACATAGCAAATGCGGAATTGAATATTACACAACTAAACATAACTCAGAAGTGATGCAGTCCTCTAGAGTGTATTAAGAATGTTTACTTTAGTGTGTATCATATTTGTCACACATCAAATAGACCTTGTCCGTATGAATATGTTCTTCCGATTCTGTCCACTGGGACAAGAAACTATAAGGACACTCATGGTTTGTCATGTCTGATTTATATCCCACTGGTCCCTCACAACATCTGGGGTCATCATCTGATGGCTCATCCTCCTCACCTTTTTCACATATGGTTGTGCGGATTACATGTAACAAACAGGCTTAGTACACCAGTCAGGCAAAACATTGGTGGTGGATTCCTTCCCCACTTTGGTAATTGATCAAAGATGTAATGACATAAAATGAAGATAGACTCCACTCTGTCCTCCATGCCTTCACCATTTTCATATCTCCTTTTACCCACGTCTTTTTAGAATCACGCAGACATTGTGACTGTAATTTCAATTTAAAACACATGAGGGGGGATATCCTAGCCTTGGCTGTTCTTTAATGGGCCGTCGTGGGATTGGAGTATGCAGAGAATGATTGAATTTTGTAAGAAGGCCAGGAACTATTGTGCGTTATGCAATCGACCATTCCCCACTCACAACGCGACGTCTGGTAAAACCTCGGGCAGGAGGAAGAAGAAAAGGAGCTGGAAACCTTGACGTCTGGACCCAGAGACAGACAAATATTTTTGCTGCTAAATGACTCAAGACTATATAAAAGTAAAACTCTGAGATGGAGATAAAAAGAGTAAGATGTGAGCAGCCACATCAAACTGAAAGGTTTTGAAACACACTGCTTTTAATGGTGCTAAATGAGTCTTTTTACACTGTAATGCATGACATCCTATATTTCCTGAAACATATGGAGCCCATACAAAACTGCCATATTGGTTTATTTATAAGATTGTGTCATGTCTGTGTTAGTCTTTTGAGTCTTTCCACCTGTGCCGCCACACTTTTTCACAGTTAGAGCAGCTCTATTTCGGCAAAAGTCATTAATAATATGAATACAAAGCGCTTTTAAGTTTTACCACTCACTCCCTTCACATGTAGTGCTGAAGTAGGCTTCCTTTTAGGCCCTTATGCAAACTGACTTCACAAGACTATGTATTATAACCTACTATCCGAGGCAATATATATATATATATATATATATATATATATTATATATTTTTTTTTTAACCCTTTAAACTACAGTGGATAATTCATCTCCTGTCATGGTCTTTTATTATCGTACAAGAATGGCAGAAAGATGTGTGAAGAAGTGGATACATTTGGAAAACTTCTATACTTTATGTATTGTCAAAGAAATGCAAATTATTGAACTTCTCTAGCCCTTACTATAGTACAAACTTGTTTTGCTGTTTAAAATAAACTTTGATTTCACACCTGCTACACTGGATTTCTCCTTGGTGATCTACAACTTTCAGTAGCAGCATCCTTCCCGTTAGGTCCATTACATTCCTATGGACCCTTTTCTCTACGGCCAACTTCGAACTAAGACATAAAGTAATCAAAAGTTAAGAGCAAACACTCAAGGAGGCACTTAGCACAAAGAAAAGCTTTTATGATAAAACATTCATATACAAGGCAGGAGACAGGTAATCTTTGAGGACGATAGGGTTGCCTTGTGGTCAGTTTCAGTGTAGTAGGACTTGGGGAGTGTGGATGAAGGCTGCTAATGACCTCCCCACCCGCTCATCACACGCAGAACTGTCTATGCAAAACAACTCAAACCTGAGAGTATCTTTAGTGGTGAGAAGTGGTGTGAAGTGTACCTCAAAGAGCCGTTGGAAGCAGCAGTAAAGCACACTTCCTTGACAGGCCGATTATAATGGAGACCAATAACATGCATGCATATTAATGGGAAAAGATGGGTAGTCAATAAGATGTACATTATAATATATTAAACACAAGTAAGCAGATGGATGAGCGCTTCATAGTTTGCTGCAACTTTTAAAGTCATACACACATTTGCTTAAAGAGGGCCCTGAATCCAAGCCAAGCTTTTTGAATTAGACATACTATGTTTTTGATGCATGTTTTTAAAATATTTTTTTTTTAGATTACATAAATTTAATATTTAAAGTTTAAACTCCATAAAGGTAACCTAACCGTATCCAGAGATATTCAGTAGACATGTTCAAATCAAATATAGTGTTTACTGAAAACAATTGTAATGTGGATTTATTCAGTCTCATATGAATCGCTCATTCAGTTTGCCGATTTCAGTGCTGAAATCCAGTTAGTTAAAACCTGAATGCGTCTCTCTGACCTGAATCCTCATTAATCAGTGAGTTTCTAAGTCTTCCCGTTGGTATGGCCAGTCCATATTGAGAATGAGTAAAACTTGCCTTCATATGCAGACACTGCAAACCCAGGTTCAGTTGTGATTGTTGTCAGTTGTGAACTTTTTGAAATCCATAAGACTGCAGGATATATACAGTTCCTTGGAGAAAATTTGCTGTCCCAATGTGTGGAGATTACCTGGCTATTGTGGTTAAAAACTTTGTTACTTAAACATGTTAACTTGTATAACATTATCAACTGCTCATTAAAAATGTAGTAAAAACTGTATTTTATTTGTCTACTTTCACTTTTTAGTTTCAAATTTAACTATAAGTTGAGTCTGAGTGTGTCATTAAAAATGCAACTCTCCCATTACTCTCCCATTAAACAGTGCATCATCATATTCAAAACCAAAACAGGAAAAGGTTCAAAAGCCTCATCTGTCCATGTCGGGAAGTCGTGTGCTCAGGTCGACTGTGGGGTCAGTGGCAGGTCGCACAGGGCGTCCATTAGTGGCCTTATTTAGACTTATTTCTTTAAGGGGAGTGATTGGCCACAAAGACAGAGAATCATTACCACTGCCCGCCCCCTCTCTGCCAGCAGTCAATAATGAGGGATCATTAAAATGAATAGATGGACGTTCCCCTTTTCTCCGGATCCTTATTGCAAAATCAGTGTCAGGGGAAATGAAGATTGAGGTTGCAGAAGGCGTCTAAAAGCCTAACAGTGATTGTCGTGAACTCATCTCCAATGCCAGGCTCCTTTATCTACTGTAAGAGTCTGCACCTGCCTGAACTCTGCTCCGGCAAGAGCTTTTACTGAGGCCCATTAGAGCATCCCTAATGTGCGCTTCAATGTACTTCAACATAAACATGGCGTACATGTACTAAAGCATTTACAGCAAACCAGACAAGGATCATCGGATGGCTCAGCTTTCAGAAGAGGCAAAGCGGATTGAAAGAAATTTGCAAACTGGTAAATAATAGCTATTATAATAATAGCTGTTCAAAACTAAACATCTGTAAAACAGTAACTTTTGTCATGTTATTCTATTCAGTTCATCATTCTTTTTGATACAAGTGAGACAAGTGGACAATTTGACGAATTTACTGGCAGTTACAGATCTCTCATTTCTGGATACATTATAAAGCACACTAACTATTTTTACTTAATCACTTCAGCAGCAATGTGTGTATTCAGATTTTTTATGTAAATTTTTTTGTTTAATATTTCATATTTTAAACAACAAAGTGAAATTCCAAAAGTAATATATATATATATATATATATATATATATATATATATATATATATATATATATATATATATATATATATATATATATATATATATATATATATATATATATATATATATATATATATATAATGGCAGTATAAAGCATTATAATGGATTTTTTTTTTTTTTTACTTAAGCTCAGACATCTGCAGTGATGCCAAATTGTTTAAATACCCACACAACATTTCACGCAAAAGAAACGAGCAAAGTCAGGCTGAATGACTGCAGATGGAGAATAAAAAGGACAGCACAAGGTTTTCCAGACCCCATCTGTTTGCTTTTGCGGTGTGACTCTTAAAATGTCTTTTAAAACAGTGATTTGTCTGTGGGCCTACACCATTGTGACTTGGCTCCTGGGTCATCCCTTTGGCCTGTCCCATGTGAAACTAGCCCATGAAAAGACTGCCCTGTGCACCTGTAGTTTCAGTCTGTCCCACCCAAAACAGATTCAAACAACACCTGTAAACGCATAGTAAAGATGACACATGTGGTAGTCATTGTACTATTTTATCGCGTCAAAACTCCTGATAAGGCTGTTTATGTTCTCCTGACATATGTTATTGAATACATACTCCCAAGTGGTAAGAAAGAGCCGATGGAGCACACTTATGGGACCCAGCTATCAAAAGGTCTGCCTGCATGGTCAAGTAATTATCTTTTAAAGCATCTTAAAGCATGGTTCTCTTAACATGCCCTTCATAACACAGGGATATTGGGAATTTACAGCAAGCAGATGGACGTTAGGTGGTAAGAGTGAGACCATTTGGCCTGAGAGCTCACTTCGTAAAGAGGCAACATCAAGAGTGCAGTGGGAATACAAGAAGAAAAGATGTGGGGCAGTAAAATCACTATAAAGGCAGATAATGAAACTTCTAAGTCATGCCCTCTGCAGGTGTGGAGGGCAGGTGGACATGGCACGTGCACAAATCATCACCCAGTATACAAAGGGGTTTAGGTGGAAGCTTTGTACAGAAATATAACTATTTCTGGAAATCACTGATCTTGTTCTTTTGTAGTTACTTGTGACCATTACACATACTTTCAGATGCACAACTTTGGTTTGGCACCTACACTGATTTGTAAGTTCTGTTAAAATATGTACGGTGAGCTGATCTTTGTTTGTTTTCAATGTTAAACCTGCTTAACAACCACTTTCACTCAGGTGCACTGTCCAACTTTTCTGTTGGAGAGTCCATCACCTGCTTCTCTCCATGAAGATATTGTCTGAATGTTCCACAGTACTGCATTACACTACCTCTACGGAGACAGCAGGTGACACCATAGGGCCAAATTACATGTCAGATCTGTAGAGAAGTGAATCTGCTCACAGTAACAATGCAAGTTTTAATAATAATAATGATAATAAAAAAACATGTTATTGAGTTATGTTATGTTTAATGCCATACCGGGACATTCCAGACAAAAAAAATAACATCTCCACGGAAACAAGCAGGTGGTGTACCTTCTACCAGAAAAGCTGCACAGTGCACCTTAAAGAAGCATCCATAAAATACAATAGAGAACCATAAGGTATGTACTGATTGTATTAAAATAATATAAAGTACAATCAAATTTGGCTTTATTAGTATTCTTTTAATAAATAATAATGATTTATCAAGAGAGCTTTGGACACTCAACATTACTTACTTTGCATTGTCTAAAGTTGACCCACATAGACTTGGCTGCCAGTCTGCACCAGTGACCTCTCCATCTCCCAGCAGTTACTGATTCACACGCCACATTCATACATAGGCAATGTGAGTAAAGTGTCTTGCCCAAGGACACAATAACACCCTCACGAGGTTGAAACGGGGATTGATTGACCCCCCCCACACTGCACTGGCTTTTGTATTAGTGTGTCTCAGCATACTTTATTTAATCATCATCTCATGGTGCCACAGTTATTTGGATAGACAAACATAAATCATGTTACTATCTTTTTTATGTTCTTATTTTTTTTCCAAAACAAACCTGATTATGTATTTTACATATAAAAAGAATCCACAAATCTCACAGATTGCAGGTCTCTGTGTGTTTTCCTCACATAATTGCTATTCCTGCTCTAACTAAACCTTCTTTGCTTAATGGCTCAGTGTATTGGAAAGCATGGCCCGCAGTCATGCTCCCTTCACTGTGTCAAAGGGTACGGCACATTGAGAGGAGCACTCAGGTAAGAGCCAGGAAAAAGGGGCGTGTCTGCATCTGTAAATATAGTGGCTCTATTTTGGGCTTACAGGGGAGCACCGCCTGGGCCTGCCTTCTGTCTCCGAGCAGGCCATGGGCGGTTCTGAACTGGGGCGAATGGAAAAAGTGGGCATGCAGGACTAGCAGGTGGTACACAGGAGCGTGGCACGGCTCCCAGGGTGAAGGCTATATCAGACATAACTGCTCACCGCTGACAATAATCACCGGAAAACACAGGCCTCTGCTTGTACCAGCTCACCAATGCATTTTTGTTAAACTACAATGTGCAGATACAGCAGCAATGAGTATGTATTAACTAGAATGATACACTTTTTATTTTTCCGTACACATAATGTTTTTTGTTTTGTTTTGTTTTTTCTTTACATATATTGTCATAAATAGACACTAAAAACAAATGGCTGGTAAAATAAATGACTGGGCAACAATGTCGGTGGGGTAAAGGGCCCATATTACTGTATTTTTCTGATTTGTTGTTGTTTCTTCATCAAAAACATACCTGGAATTCACAAGTTTAATAAACAAACAATGCTTATTTAGACTGAATTCCTCACTGAAAAGGAAAACACTGTTTCACCTTATGTCATGTTGTAATACAGGAAGTGCTCCATTGTGTTTTCAAACTACATACACCTTCACTATAATCATTTGGATGATTTCAACCCTTGAACTACCAATCTCTTCTGAACTAATGGTAAAGGGTAGTTGTTAACTTGAAAACTACCCCTACATGACATCACAAGGAGGAATAGAGCATTTTGAGCTTTGAACATGTAAAACAAATAATAAAAAGGTACTCAAGCATGTGTGAATGAAATTATTAAATATTTCTGAGGAGATAACAGCATTATAACATGGCTTAAAGCTCACAAGAGTCAGTTTTGAGTAATGTGGAACCTTTAAATATTTGAACCTTGCCTGAGCCAATAGTGATCCAATCTAGTATGTCTGGTTGCATCAGCAATGGTATTGAGTATCAAAGCTAAAAGATTACAGTACATTGTACTTTAATTATACTTACATGTTATACTTAAAATGTGTTAGTAAGACCTTGTGTAATCATTAAGTTCATACAGTACAGAAGTTATAATGATGCCATTTATTTATTTTAATATAGAGAACACATTAAATGCACTAAACACATTTCATTTTTATAAATATTTCATATTAAAGAGAAATATGTTTGACCTTGTGCCTGGACAGAAAAGCATTATGGATGTGACAGGTTTGTAGCTGAGAGAGTAAGGCACAAAAATAGAAAACATGATGATAAGGTTAACTCATGCTAATATACCACATGTCCAAATGTATCAGGAAGTGACTGGATACGTCTGTTCTATTATCGCAGTGTGATGTACATGCAACGGATCATTTGGAAAGAATTCAACATTTGGTCTGCTCTGTATGGACAGTAAAGTGCATTCTGTTGCTTTCCTCAACTCAATGCTAGACTTTGTGAAACATATGCAATAATTTCACCAAAGACAAAATCATTTGGTTTATTTAGATCAATTATTGCCAACCGTTTGTAACAGTCTGGCCAACTCTTACAGTTGAAGTGTACTGTCAGTGTGCCTATTTACATGCAGTGCAAAAGCCACTAATGTGCAAAAGTTTATAAACACATAAGTGTTTGAGGGATCAATTTCAGAGAACATACTTAAATAATTTTAAATCAAATTGAATAACATTGTTTTGGGGTTTAACTGGACCGATGCCTTGGCAGAGGTCTGTGCTCTGCAAGTTCATAGCATCTCTTAAAATCCCATCCTAGACTTTTGCACATTGTTTGAGTATATTTAAACCTGCAATGTTAAAATTTAGCAGGTAAGCATACCATTGTTAAAAGAATTTAAGGGCAGAAAGAAAAATGAAAATATCTGCCTCAGCCACTATTAGTCTGTGCTGTATGCTCCTTTTGATTGTCTCAGCATGACTCAGTTGAAGCTGAAAACTGGAAGACAGGGACGGGACCATTTCAGTTGAGGCACTAAGGTGAAAGCATCGGCTAGAATAGCTACAGATAGAGAAAACCAAAACAAATAAGATAGATAAATGGCATGATACAACCTGAAGGCATTCATATTATCAATACATACAAAATAATATACAAGGGTAATATGCTTTAGCAAATAAAATACACGGCTACTCTATTCACATAGTCCCATTCAACACATTGTCCGGCTTGAGCTCCCCTGGAAAAGTCATTCAAAGTTGTACAAAAAACATGTAGACAATAATAATTTGGTTTACAATGGACACATAAATACACGAGTGCTGTCGTTAATATTACTGCAGTAAGGCACCAGTTTGCACAAAGAAATCGACGATCCACTGTCCATGCATTATTATACATAGTAAATGAGATTGTCTCTGTAAGTTGTTTGGTCCACTAATCAATTTTCTCTGTTAAGGCAAGCAATATATACCGCCCCTGAAATCACTTCCCTTTCAACAAACATGGAGTTTTGTGGATCTTGCCAATGATTGTCACTGTGCAGTTTGGAGAAGTCAAAAAGAGTCAGAGATCCTGGTCAAATATCCAAATTCTTCATAGTCTGGATCTCTTTGTTTCGTGGTTATCTTGTCGGAGCTGTGACGGGTCCAGGACGTCTATGCATGAGTGTGCACGGAAATGCTGGAGAGGTCGTTTCTGATGATTTCATTAACTGTGGAAAAACATACACAAAGGGAGAGCGTTAGTCAATTATACAGAAACATATAGTTCATAGTGTTCATTTAAAACAATTTGACCTTAAACTTGTTTCTATAAATTAATGGAGGAATAAGCACTAAGTAAGTAAATAATATGTCAATGTCAATACAAGATAGAACTGATAGAAGAGAGAGGGAGAGATAAAACGGTTTAGAAAATGAAAATGACCTTTCTTTCAAAGTGTAACATAAATGAAATCTAAAATAAGTCAATAAATATGTTGGATATGTAGTATTAGTAGAAACTAAGTAGCAGCATAGTAGAGATGAGTGAGTGAACAACAAAATAACAATGTTACTGGCGTAGTATCAAAAGTATTGATTCTCATTCAAAAATATACTTAAAATTTCTCAAGTTTGCTTGAAATATATTGTTTAAATTTTTGTTTATCTGCACACTAATTTATTTTAAGATCAGTTCAACCTGGGAGGAAGTGAAAATAATGCCAGGAAAAAATCTTTATAGCATTAGATTGGATCGATATTCTGATACTGGCCATACTATAGGTGTGTAGTAATAGTTGTTATCGGATTAAAACACAAATCACGGTATGCATGCTATCAATTCTCAGTGCATTCTTGCTAACTTGAATAATAGCAGATATCAGAACAATATCAGTGAAAGTTGTGTCAACCCCCACATGGTCTAAGTCTAAGTCATAGTCTTTCCTGCTCTGTCCAAAAGCCCGCGCCTTTCCCATAGACCTGCACACACACAACATACACACACACACACACACACACACACACATACACACACACACACACACACACACACTTGAGTCCAGTGCTTATCATTTGTGTATGCTTTGGCAAATCTCAGGGAAGTGACTGTGGAGATGGCGAGGGCCCTGCAGTCACCCAACAACACAAACAAGCAGCCCGTGGTTTTGTGATCGAGACGCGCAGTGATAAAGTTCACTGATGTAGACAGAGTGAGTGAGGTTAGAGACAGGAAATCCACCCACTGAACAGGGTCTGCACAACGCTATCAATGTGGGTTTCTGATACCAAGGAAATAACATAGGCCTTAGTACAAAGGGGTGTGTTGCATGACAATGAAGTGTCATACATTAGCAACCATCCATCACTAGGCTTCTTTAGGGATTAAACAAATGCAAAATAAGTTTATTATGAGTCTTTAATATACATATGAAAAATCAGAAGAAACAACACTTTTAGGCCATGTGGAAGAGTGCAGTGGTTTTGTACTTTAAGGTCATGAAAGGTCAATACTGTAGAATGTATTGAGTACTGTATTTTGTATGAAATTGTGTTTGGATACTGTCTATTTTATTGTGCCCCTGATGTCCAAGACACATTTCACCATTTAGAGATAATGGGGGCTTATCTTAATTTTAATAATCTAATTTGAATGAAGAATTGAAAATAAAAGATGCAGGTTTCAAAAGCCCCATTGGCAGCCTCTGCAATAATAACTCTGCTTTGAAAACATACCACACACCTTCGCACACACACAAATCAGGCTGGTCGGGACTTACCTCCCCAAACAGGAGGAACTCCCATTGGAAAAACCTGACCTGTGCCAACACTGCTGGCTGTTTTCAACTCCATTTGGCTCCAGGCTGAGCAGGCATTTACACGCCGAAGTTATTTTTAGCTCTGCCACACCAGGACATTAAGGAAGTGTGGGGACGTGCAACAGTTAAATGATCAAATGCTAATGTCACTGCTGCTGTGAGTCTAATGCAATACTGTGCACAAGTCTGGAAGAGTGAATTTAAGAAGGCAAATAAAGGTCAGTCTAGGTACAGAAACTAAGTGCTAGTAGAGAAAATAAATGATCATAGATTAATTATTTAAATAACAAATAACACTGTTTTCCATTTCATGCCGTGTCAGTAAAAAAAAAAAAAAACATGACTGTGGGACTTGGGGAAAAATACATTTTCTTTAAAATGCACACATTGCCGTCACATTGCTGTTACCAAAGTGTTATTTCCTCTGCCCACGTATTACCTGATCTGTACTGTGCTTTTTCCATTATAAAGATAGAGGAAAGTGAGAGGCCTTACTGTGTTTTATTTAAGTATGCACCGGGTCACTGAGTGAATCTCAATGTGAAACAGGATGCGGCGATGGTTGCACCACAAAATAACACCAACTTTCTATTTATAGATGTTATTAAGTCTGTATGTGTCACTGTTTGGTTCAAACACTGTCAAAATAACACATTCAAACAGGTTGCTCCGTGCACATGTGTTTAGCAGAAAATGAACATTATAAATACAAGATTATGTTTAAAGCCAAGCCAAGTGTGTGGACATGTGGAAACTTACAGAAGTTGACTTTTTTTTTTTTTTTATCATTGATGTAATAGTAAATAATCAGTTAAAATTATTTACCAGAATTATACAGACAAATGGTGTTATAAACCAGAGCCATTATATCAGTCAAATAAATGTAAAAAGTTTATGTGAGGATGGGCATCTTGTGTAAAAAGTTTTTTTCGAATCAATATGCAAATAACAAGTATGCTCTAACCACAGTGTTATAGTTTTAGTTTTAGTTTTAGTTAGTTATATTTAGTTATCTCAAAGTTTTATCATTACAACTGTAGCTGTAGATACAAATGTTGACAATAAATATAACTGGCCTCTAAAATCAGAATATTCAAATATAATTCCATAATAAAAGGCTGTACATTCCTATAAAGGCATATTTCAACACTCATTTGACCTGGCATCCTTCTCACTGCAGGCTGGAAACTGTTCCTTTTCAGTTTGCCCGTGCAGGTTAATAATGGAAAGCTGCAAGAGGGAGGATCCCCGCTCATGAATAAACAAAAACAGTGGAAAACTAAACTCCCGATATTCCCCCGGTGAGAGAAAAAAACAAAACAAAAAAAAAAAAACGTACTTAAACATGTGTCTTCCTTTATTAGTCACAACGCCAACGCAATTTGTACAGCACCATTCAAACCTGTCAGGGCCTATTCTTAGGGCTGGGCAGCTGAAAGGTCTATTTTAGAAAGGTACAAAAATACTAGATACTATAATAATGCTTCCTTGTTTAATTAAGTGGATGTGTATTTTCGGTGTTGGTATCTATACATAGATCTTTAGCTTTATGCCTGGATAACTGCAATACAAATATGTGTTTATCTGTTGTTTTGGAAATATGTTGCAGTAAAGTTTATTTAAAGGGCTCAGTTTGGATTAGAACAACACTCCCAGTATGAATAATATTGTATCTCAGGACAGATACCTAAAGACTTAATGCAATACTTCGACTCTGCAAGATTATGTAAATTAATATTGGGACTACTGTCATTTTCTGCAAAAAACATCTATATTAAGAGTGTTATATCAGGAAGGACATCTGGTGAATAAATAAATACATACATGGATATACTAATTGGAAGGATTTGTCAGAAAAAAAAGATATGCTAGGGCTGAATGATTTGGGGAAAAAAAATAATTGTGATTTCTCTGACAAGCATAGTAATTTGGATTAGATTCGCGATTCTGCTCCAAGTTCACATTTCAAACGCATCCACAAGAATTGTCAAAAAGACTTAAATATGAGATATGCAGAATAAGTAGGAAATTGTGATACTTCAAAAACTGCAGTCCTTGCAATTTGCCAATTGGGCCCATTGTGATTTTGATCCAGTTTCAAAAAATCCTGCTGCCCTATTGTGTGGATATGGTAAAACAGAAATTTAAATACATTTTTTCACAGAAGTAAAATACCAACAATATCTTTTTCAGTAACACAACTTTTCTGCTAACTTCAACTGTCCTTTTAGGTATTACAGTGCAGTTACAGTACAGTATTACAGTACAGTTACAGTGCATAAACCTGAGTACCACATGGGATTGAGTTAGAATAGTTAGCGGCCTCCTTTGAGCAGAGGGTTCGATATGAGCCGGGCTTCCTCTGTGAATAGTGAAAGCCCTGTGGTCTGCTATAGTCTGGAGGCCCGCTGCCGTAACCCAATCTCCATCTCCCCAAATCTGTCCTGACTGGCAATGACCATAGCGCAGTTCCACTCAGCTGACGATCCAAAACATGACCTTTGAACCTGAGTGTGTAGACGAGGCTTCCTGTTCTCTTGATACTGAAGTGGGAGAGACACCTTCTTGAACTTCTTTCACTTTCACTGTGAGAATAAACTGCCACCATGCATGTGAGGGTCAGGAACATATGGAGGAGTCTTCCGCTGCCTATAGTAAAGCATCATCCATTGTTTGTAAAAAAGGATGCTATTTCTTCCTACTATTATGGTGCTTAGAGAAACATGAAGAAGTCAGTTTCAGCCATTAATTTTAAGTTAAAAATAATAGTTCCTGAAATGGTCTGATATGGATTTTTTGTGCAGGTATCCTGTGCTGGTATCCACTATTTGTCTTGCTGATGTGACTGGAAAAATATCGGTGCCAAATCGGCAAAATTGTCAGTATCAGACCAATAAATTATCTGGGGAAACCCTTGTATATGACCGTTAAGTTCATTTCTAGTTCTCGATTCATTATATTAAATATTTGCATTTTCCATAATATTATTTTATTATAATTTTCTTACAATCCCCAGAAGAAACCTCAACATGTCGGAAAGAAGCCAGAGCTATGTAAACCCTTGCTGCCAATAGACGGAGTAACACCTCATGTGAACTTAGGTAAAAATTGATTTGCTTATGGAAGCCAAACTAAAGCTCCAACTTGCTGCACAGAGACAATTGAATTTCCTGCTACATATTACTTTTGTTTCCCCGGCAATATCAAATCTTCTCTCGGGCCTCGGCAGCAACACTTAATGGACAATTTGCTGCCTCCCACGCGCGACTCGAAAGCTCAAACCACGTCACCGCTTCTTCTGCCTTATAAGCAGCGTCAAAAATGGGGGAGGGGTCAAAGGTCGGAACACACAAGATAAATTGACGATGTGTGGAGTTTATTCCCAAAGATAAACTCAAAGGGGAGAGAGACAG